GCTCCTACCTGTACTTTAAAAAAAAATACATAAGGAAGGCCAGCAAAGGCAAGGTGGCCAAGACCAGGAATGGGCAAGGAATAGGGAAAAGAGGAGCTCAGAAAATCATCACTGATCCTGCCTTGCTAGATGGACGGATTTTCTTAAGAAGTGATTTTTTTTTCTTCTGCATTATGTTATATAGTCCATAAAACCCAAGCCTGGGGGCCATGGGCCTGGTGAAACTGTGCAGAATGCTTTTTTCTTTTCCCCCCTGGAGGTGATCAATGACAAGCAAATTGAGGCGTTGGCTAGCAGCTGATTTACTTGGCAGGTATTCCTCCCCTCCCCCAGAGGCACAAATCAGAAATCCATTCCGTGCTGCTGGGTGTCAGATTCTGTCCTACTGAAAATAAAGCAAAGGCCCCCGAGAACCAATCGGAAAATGTTGGATTATGTTCAGAATTCAGCGAGGCACCAAACGGATTACCAAGCCACTTTGTGCCCTGAATTGGTTTTTGAACTTGCTTCGCACAGATGCCCTCGAAGAAAGCTGTCGGTTCCTCATAGCTCCCTGAAAAACAATACACATACATATATTTAATCAATGACCCCCAGAAGGCTAGGGTCAGTGCGAACACACTCCTTTTCTTCCTTTGGGTGGTAAAGTAGTTGTTATTAGTATTTTTCTTTTAAAAGGAATAAAATATATATATCCTCTTCAACATCTGGCCTTTTAAGCAGTTGTGAAAATTCTATCACTGCACTTGGCATGTCCCTCTCTGGGTATAAGACACATGAGCGATCTATCCATTTTTCCCACTGTTTCAAACATCTCACTGCCAAGGTCGGGCTTGACAGTTTTTGGCCACAGGCAGGAACTAGGAGCGAAGGGCCTCCTAAACTTGAACTCTCCCAGTTCTCCGAAGGCCCAGTTATGACTTGTGACTTAATTCCCACTCCAACATCTGGCCTAGGTAGTGTGCAGGCCCTGGAGCAGGTCACAAGGGCTGGTAGGGTCCAGTGTCTACCAGCAAGCTTGCAGTGACTTTATCTTCCTGAAGGAGAAATTAAGGTATCTAAGGTTTATTGATCTGCCTGTTGTGATTTAGTGAGTCGGCAGAGAATGGGGAATAAAACCAGTTTCCTGGCATCATTTCCCAGGCATACTACCTTGCGAGGCCTAGACTGGAAGCCAAGAATCCATCTTAGGGAATTTGATCAGAAAATGGATGACGGGTGGTTCTAAAACCACAGAAGCATTGAGAAAGTCATAAAGATGTATAATATATGATAGCATTTACCAACTATAAATAGGGGAGATGCAGGGAGAAAAATAGAGACCTTGTAAAGCCATTGGGTCAGGAGAAATAGAAACTGCTTAATATTTCATTAAAAATGGATTTTCATAAATTGCACTTTGATATCTTTGGACAAAAGGCAGTGCATAAGGACTAAGGCGTTGTTATTCATTACTCTTGGTTATTAATAATTTGAACTGTTATTGAACCAACACATCAACAAGGTATATCCTGCCTGTGAATGGAGCACTCACCATGTGTTCTGGGCACTAGGCGAAGTGAATTAAATAGCCACAGCAATTGCCCACAAAAGCACTTAGATTATAAGGAACAGTGGGTCACTCAAGTGCCCTTTTACAAAGTGGATGTGCTTAGAGAGGAGTTCAAACCGTGAAGACTCTTGTGGAGAAAGGCTTAGAATCTGCTGGCCAGAGAGGGGCCAGGAGGTCAACTCCTGCAGAGTCCTCACTTACAGTGAAGGACAATGTGGCCCCGAGGGGGACAGAGATATTTGCCCACCTCTTGGTCTAATTAGCAGCAGGGCCTTACTCCAGGCTCCTGCTGAAGTGGTGGGGTTTGTTTGGTTCTCTCTGCCTCACTCAGAGTGAGAGGCATGCAGAAATCTCCAGAAAGATGATGTTTCTTCCGCAGAGAGTCTGGACAGAGGGTAGACGGAGGGAGGTACAAGGTCAAAAGCCAAAAAGAAAGCAGTAAGGACCTAAACTTGGAAACGTGAAGAATAATTTGAACCCAAGTTCACAAGAGACATTTTGAATCCCTTCTCCATCCAGAGACTGGAGAAGAAGGAGCAAAACTGAATGGCAGAACAGAATTCCATGTGAGACACACAGGTCAATCATGTGCTCGTCTCCCATCCTGACTGAGGCCACTGTAGGTGGAACGTGAGGGGTTTCACCCAAAGCTCATGGTCACATGCATTCTCTCAGGCTGGTGCGTCTGAATGTGTGCAACCCCGGCGCCCACATGTAGCACATTTATTCCCATGCTGTCCACTCCCAAGGATACTCCAGCTGTGCAATCATTTTCTTAAGAAGGAAGGGTCAAGAGTCAGGCACAGTGGTGCGTGCCAGCACTCATGAAGCTAAGCAGGAGAATCTCAAGTTCAAAGCCAGACTAAACTACATCATTGAGTTCCAGGCCAACTTAAGCTACAAAGTAAGACCCTGTACCAGAAAAGGAGAGGGAGGAGGAGGAGAAGAGACAAGATTTCCTGGGATTATCTGCCAAGGCTGAGAAATGAAGGAGGTCAGAGAAGATAAAATTGGATATTAAAAACACATAAAGCATGCTGTGTTTCTAAATGGTACCAGCATGGTGTACGTGTTGTGGATTAGAAGCTGTGTGCAAGTTCAAATCCTTTCAGCTCTCCAATTACGTATTTATGTGCCAACTGAAGCCACCTCCAATAGGAACTGCTTAGTGTCTCCTGATGGAGGCCACACACAGTCACCATCACCATCGGCGGCGGCGGGGAACATCCCGAGGTGGCCCCCACTGCTCACAGCACCCGTCTGAAAGCAGCAAAGTGTGTCATTTGCTGCTCCCCAAACAAAACAAAACAAAACAGAAAAGTCTGTGTTGCATGCTGAACTCTAGAAGAACTGACTCATCTCGTTAGCTTGGATTCAGTTCCTCCAGCCCTTTCCTCGGTACTGGAGAATCATTGTCAGCACCAAGGAAGCAAGAAACAGGAATGGGGAGGCAAGGTCTTTCTGGAACCCCATTCTCCTCTCAAAGATCGGGATATCAAAGGCTAACTTGGTCTTACGCCCCACCCCCACCCCACCCCTGGCTCCTTTCTCTCTCTTTACTAACTTGGTCTTGCTCCCCGACCCCCACCCCCGGCTGCAGTCATCGTAAAGGCGGCTGCAGGACCAAACCCGAGCAAGAGGAGTGGCCCTTCTGTGTTCCCAGTGTCACACAAAGCTGCAGGGGGCGGGGGGGCACCAGTGGCATTAGGGTCCTGCATGAGAGAGCTACCCAGGGAGTAGAGAGAACAGTGAGCAGGATGGTTGAGTAGATTTCTCTCGGAGTAGGTTTCGTCCTGTGGTTGAAGCACAGTGGACTGATGACATCCCATTTCCTTTCTTTTTTTTTTCTTCCCTGTGTGGAACATGCTACGTCCCCACTTCATTTGGTTGCAGAAGGTGTGAAGTCTCTTCCCCCTTTACCCCTGTCATCTGTGGGGCATTCTTAACCGCCTCAATCTTGTGGCCTTAGCAAATGGGGGGTTCGGGGTTGCCAAATGGTAGGGCTCACAGTTGATTGAGAAGAAAAGGCTGCATTGTTGACTGCCTGTAAGCTTGCGAGATAGTCTGCTGTTCCCAAAACCGTCCTACAGTGGGATTATAAACTCCCCGTGAGATCACATCACTAGTCTGTGACTTGACTTCTCCTCAGCCCATGATGGGCTACCTGGCCATCAGGACTCCTAGCCACCAGTCAGAATGTTGTAAATTTATCAAAAGAGATGGGAGTCCGCAAAGGAAACCGCAGACTTGAATGCCATGCATCCACATAAAGATGTGTGAGCCTCAGTTTCCCCACCAGTAAAGCAGAGGTTGTGGGTGTGGTATCCAACCATCATGTTGACAGCGTCTGGCTTCATAGGTGTTCAATATGCCAGTTTTTAAATCTCTCTTGTCCTCTTCTTGTCTGTGGCCTAAACACCTGGCAGGTACTGAGTGCTGAGACCTGGAGATTCTGGTTTCCCTGAGCAGGAGAGACTGCTGGTCCAGGAAGATTGGCCATGAGTAGATCTACAAGGTCCTGTGGTTGTTATATATATGACAGGCATGAATTAGAAGTGACAGTTGGCTGCTTGTTTCTTCCATCCACCCTTACCCAGGGAAACGAAAAGAAATTCACATAGTCTTGCCCTACTTACTTATTTTTTAATGGAGAGCATACAAATACATGAGGTCCATATGGCCATTATTGATTTGGGCCATCTGGTAAACCGGGACTTGTGCCTACCATGTTAGGTCAGAAGCTACTCCAAAAAGCCTTTCCTCCCATAAGAGAGGCCCCGGTCAGCTGGGGACAGGGATGGATTTCATTACAGACTGGGGGCTACACTAAGACGGAGCTGGAGCACGGCCCTTAAGAGGCTGTCTGCAATAAAGAGCCGAGAGACCCAAGAAAAGCGTTGACTGACAGAAGGTATGGGGTAGACATCCCCCCTTACCCGCTCACTCACTCAGAATGGGGAAGTGTCTAAGGAACTAACAAAAACAACAGAGAAGGGGTATGCAATTAGAAAAGGCCCTGTAAGGAGCCCCGTGTGCCCGCAACGTGAGGAAGAGAGAGTGTCAAGTTCAAGCTAGTGTGTGAGGTCTGCTGGCCCTAACGGATGACATGGCTACCTCCCTTACAATGAATGTGCTTTCTTCTCTCGCTCAGCTTCACAAGTGTTTTCTTTTTGAAAGCTCCTTCCTCTGTTTGCTCTCAGCCCAGAAGCAAAATATTCCTTCCTTCCAAAACTTTTTGCAACGTTCGCTTTTTTTTGTTGTTTGTTTTCAAGTTAGAGCAGAATGAGAAATTAACTTTTTTCAGTTATTCTAAAAAGCCCAACAGGACAGAGCCACTGATGGTTTCTAGGAGCGGCCTGTGATGCTTTCCTGCCCCTCTCGATGACGGCTCAAGGGTTGGCCTCATAAACAGGATTTCAGGGACGCTGCTCTGCGTCTTATGTTGCAGGTATTCCAGGCTAACAACGATGCGACCGAGGTGGTCCTAAACAAACTCCACACGCCACTGCTGACAAGGTTCATCAGGATCCGCCCACAGACGTGGCACTTGGGCATTGCCCTTCGGCTGGAGCTCTTTGGCTGTAGAGTCACAGGTGAGTTGGGGGCGGGGGCAGTCCCGACGAGACAGGAGAAGCAATTACATTCTAGGCTTCTCCCCCTCTTTCTGAATCGATAGGATTGTACCATGTGACCTTCCCAAAATGAATGGCTCAAAGGCCCAACTCCTACCAGACTTAATTTTTTCATTCATTTATTCATCCATCCATCCATCTAATATGTTTTTATTATGCTAATGCTACTTCTACTAGTTAAAATGTACTGAATGATGATTTGATACCAGACTCTAGTCCCACAATAAGTGTCCTATCTTTTATTATTTTTCATTTGTATTATTCTTATTAGAACTCAATGGCACAGGTCATTGTCCTCACTTTACTAAATTGCCAAGAAGTGATGGTACCAGGGTTTGAACCTAGGTAACTTGAGTCTCAAATAGTGCTCTCTCCTGCCTCATGTAGAGACCAAAATCTAGACATGGTATTGTAGACATAATGGGGGCATGACAGACCCAGTCCCGTGTGGGCATTTTGACAAGTTGGATGGACAAATTAATAACAAGCAAAATGATCAATCAATGTCAATTCAAAAACTATGAAGAATATCCAGAAACAGGGCCCCACGGTCCTCGGAGTGTCCTACAGAGGACTTGACATAGCCTGGCAAGTCAAGAAAGACTTCCTTGAGGGTGGGTTACTGAGGGCAGAGGGCAGACAAACCAGACATTACCTGCTGAGGAGAGATTTGAAAGGCTACTCGGCAGTAATCACTGCTTGCTTGTTGGCATAGTAGCAAGAGAACTGAGAACAGTGTTTGAGATAGTCTCTGAAGGGAACACGGTACTCATGGTCTAAAACCCAAGGGCTATACAACGGGGATCACCAGAGTGGGAGCTGGTTACCATGGTATAGCGGCGACGCCATGGTGGTTGGACTAGCAATAGTATGAATGTGTATCGGTCAATCATTTCCACTCTTTGAACTCCACCTAGAAAGACAAGTTGCTTCTTTGACCTGGAAGGGTCCTCATTGTCCATCCACATACCTGCCTACTTCTCCCTCATTCCATCCCTGTCCGGGAGTGTACCATCATGTGACCCTGCTTACAGTTTCTGGTTCGAGTACCCTGTGTCTGCACCTTCTCTTCATCTCTCACGACTCTCTCCTGTACTTTCTACTGCCGGTTCTTCTTAACACCTAGGATGACATTGATGACGAAATTAGACTCAGAAAGACAACAGCGTAACCCAGCCCACCATCCATCCCAGAGGCGACAGAGTCAGGCCCTGTACCCGTTGTTGCTCAGTACAAATCCCTTGTCACCTTTAGACGGGGACCTGGCTTCCTCCTTGTAGGGACAGCTCATCCCCAAAGGCCTGTCTTCTGCCCCTTCTGTGCGGCTGGCTAGGCCGGCAGAGGATACTGAGCAAGAGTTTACCTAGGACTTGTGATACATTTGCTCCCCGCCCCCCCCCCATTCACTCCATGAAGACCCCGCACTGAGGCTTGAGATAGAGACGTGAACAGGATGAGGTCTCCGATGTCAAAGAATGTTCAAGCTAGTGGCCGAGATAAATAGCAAACAAATGCAAGAATGCATCATGATAAGCTAACACATGTGTGGAGGGTGTCCAGGTGCCCCGAGGAGTGACTGAGGGCACCTAATCACCATGGAAGGAAAGTTTGGCCAGAGCCAAATGTGGTCCTTGTACTCCGAGGTGAGCAAAGGTTAGTCTGGTAGTGAATGGGGGTGGGGGCGCACGTCAGGTGGTGGGAGCAGTGTTTGGGAAGGACCCAAAGGCAGTGAAGAGCTCTGGTCACACATGTGGAGAACTTGGTACTGAGCCCAGGAAGGCTCCCATCTTGTAGGCAAAATGATCTTCCAGGAAATAATTCAGTGCTCGCCTGAACTCCACTGCACTCGCTGTCCTTGAGGGTCAGTGGGGATTGGTGTCGTGGATGGATGTGCCGACACATGTTCTCAGAAGCCGTGACTACAAATGGCTAGCAGCCACTGAACCCTGGTACGTGAGGCTCTATTCTAAGGCCTGCTCTGAGGTAAACTAATAGAGTCCTCACCACAGCCCTGAAGAGGTAGGCACTGTTGAGAGAGCCCATGTAGACTTGGGGAACTTGATGCGTGTAGCAATGAAATCACTTGACCAAGGTCAGCTCGCTAAGTTAACCAGCAGAGTGAACACAAAACCAAGCATTCTGGGTCCAAGTTCCGGCTCTGACTCTACAGCCTCATAATGCAAAATAAAACAGATAAGCATGGGCCCTGAAGGTCTGGTAGCTGCTTAATGAATGGGCCTCAGCCATGATTTCTAGGATTTTCCTTGCCTCTTCTAGATGCACCCTGCTCCAACATGCTGGGGATGCTCTCGGGCCTCATTGCTGATACCCAGATCTCTGCCTCCTCCACCCGAGAATACCTCTGGAGCCCCAGTGCGGCCCGCCTGGTTAGCAGCCGTTCCGGCTGGTTCCCTCGGAACCCTCAAGCCCAGCCAGGTGAAGAGTGGCTTCAGGTGGACTTGGGGACGCCCAAGACAGTGAAAGGTGTCATCATCCAGGGAGCCCGTGGAGGGGACAGCATCTCTGCCATGGAAGCCAGGGCATTTGTACGCAAGTTCAAAGTCTCCTACAGCCTAAACGGCAAGGAATGGGAATACATCCAGGATCCCAGGACTCAGCAGCCAAAGGTAGGCTGTTCTCGGGGGACTCTAATGCCATTCTAAATAGAGGTGAAGTGGGGTGCAGAGAGTTGGGGTACTGATTTCCCACCTAGCAGCCATCATCAAATCCCATCAGTCCAATAAAATGAGTATCAACCAAGAGACTATGTTATGCCAGGCCCAGTCCTTAAGTTATACTCCTTCTTAATGCCCATAATCTTTCTACAAAGCCTATTATTTGATCACTCACAATTTTAGAGATGATAAAACGGAGGCTTATGTTCTATCCAGGGCCACACACTGTTTACCGGTGCTTGAGACCAAAAAGTCAGACTTCAAAACCCAGATACCCAACCAGTACTCAGCACTGCCCGCTTAGGAAGTTTAGTGCCCTTCTCAGCCTCTTCTGGATCAAGTTTCCCTGAGCTGGGCCAGACATCCCAAGGGGATGTGGTTGTTGGAGGCCAGACTATAGAGACTGGGGGTTTACTTCCAAAAATAACTGTTTTTCTGAACGTTACGCTCCTTCGTATTTTCTTAGTCTTGATGGCTCAGATCTTTTGTGCCTCTCACACTGAGTTTGAAAGGAAAAGAGAATGATCCTGGGCCAGCAGTAACAGGTCAGGACAGCCCACCCCTGCCACGAGAGAAAGGGAAGGCTGGCCTTCAGCCTGGCATGCAAGGGGCCCCAGAAGGAAGAGCACTCCATGCCTCTTCCCTCTTCAGAGTCATCTCCTGGCGGGCCAGGCTCTCTGGTCCTCATTTCTACAGAAGTACACACTCTTTAACCAAGGAAGGAATCCTCCCTGTAATAAGCAAGGCTTTGCTTTCTGAATGCATAGGCCAGGGCTAAGCTGGAGGTTTTGACAGTCCTGATGTGAACTTCCAGCTCACAGTTCCAGGGGCTTGGAAAGACTCAGGGTTTGGAAACCAGAACCTTCAATGGCTAGAGCGGGAACTGGACCACAAGTTCCCAAGTGACGGCTAACCGTGCCTCTTCTTGGAAACTGAAATCATTTGAGCAAGTTTCAGAGCATTGCCCTGCCTGAGATGGTGTCCTTACTTTTAAGACTGTGGATCCTGAGTACCTGCAGATGGCTGGCCCCCAGGCATTCCTGGACATAGCCACCTCAACACCTGTCCTCTCCCTATGTGAAGGACTCTGAGGTGGCTCTGGGTGGAGTTCCCACACCGCTCCAACTTCTGTCAGCAATTTTATGCACTGGCGATCTAGGAGAGGTTTCCTTTGGTAGAATTGCTTCTGATAAACCAAGGTCTAGAAGACAATCTCAGGCCATCACTTTGTAATCAAGAGGATGGTGTTATTACCCGAAAGAGGGGGTGGCTGTTTTCTTGCAGACTGTCAGTGAACTGGGAACTGTTGGCCTTTGGGATCGTTTTGGCCCCAGGCTTCTGGGGGATTAAATGACCTGTAGGACCTCATTCATTCAGGCAAGCATACCATCAACTGTGCTAAATCTCCATCTCATTCAGGCACCTTACACACACAGACATCCACATATCAGAAAGAAAAAAAAAAAAAACACTTTTAAAATAAGGCAAGGAACCTGGCCTGGTAGGACACAGCCAACCCTGCCTTCCGTTCTTCCTGGCCAAGGTCGGCTTAAATCACATTTGGAGCTTAGACCTCCCCTGAGAATGGCCACTCTAATGCTCCCTAATTTCCATATTTCGAGGTCCCTGGTGGGCTTCTCCAAATGAACAAAGACCTTGGTTTGAAATGAGGTCACATAATGGGTAATGCCCCATGAATCAACCACAATGTGGGGGTGTGGGGGTGGGGCGAGGTGAGTGGGGGAGGAGTTCTCTACTGGAGGGCTGAACAACCTGTCCCCCCATAGCTGTTTGAAGGGAACATGCACTATGACACTCCAGACATCCGAAGGTTCGATCCAGTTCCAGCGCAATATGTGCGGGTGTACCCCGAGAGATGGTCACCAGCAGGCATTGGGATGAGGCTGGAGGTCCTGGGCTGTGACTGGACAGGTAAGGGGGATTTCCTCTCCATGTCTTGCTCACTTGGTCTTGTGGTCTTGGTATCCTCGGGAGGGGACAGGGGCAGTCAGCCTTTCATGAAGCTGAACACCACTGCATACCTGGTGTGTTCTCGGACCACCGCTGAACGTGGAGACGTCTCTCAAGGGAAGCATTTTGTCCTTTGTCAAGGATCAGTTCAGCTCCTCAACATGAGTCTCTCGGAAAAACAAGTCATAACCACCCACCACCCACCCAAATTCAATTAGACCCCAGCTCTTCAGGCCAGGGGGCTGTGGCTGTTGATTTAGGAAAGAAAAACCCTCTCATGATAATAAAGTAATCGGTTTATGTCTGAATCTGGCCTCCAGATGTCAGAGGCTCAGAGACAGCGTTTTTCCTTTCAAAGCCACATCTGTAAAAGGCATTTATTTGCTCAGGAGGGACAGCGGTACAGGGGTGCATCTTTCCAGTGAGCAGCCATGGTCCTGCTCCTTCCTGCCCTACCAGGTGGCATAGGCCTGGGGCGAGTGTCTCCATGAATTTTCCCTGTGAGGGTGAGGCCCCAGAGCTCACCCTCCCCCTGACTGGTGGCTGAAGGAGGGAAGATCCTACCTTTCCGAGTCAGGCCCTACCTTGCCTCTGGCCCCTAGCCTGCTTCTTCCGCAGAGCTGGCACAGCCTGCCAAAAGGAGCTTTTGGGGAGCCACCCGGAGCTCAGGGCCCCACCCTGAGTGCCAGCAGGAAGCACGAGCAGGCATAGCTCTCCTGCCCCTCCCCACCAGGGCCCCATGCATCCCCATTTTCCTGTCTGCTGTACCTGTCACTGGCTCAGGCAACCGGATGGCATGAAGGATTAATAAGGGCATGTCAGAGGAGTGTTTTCGGCTCCTGGGGAGAAAAGTGGTGCCTGTGAGCGGGCTACGAGTGCACAGAGGAATCCTGTGCACACGTGCAGGCCAGGAAGGGGGCCCAAGTTCACCTCTAGGCTTGGAGGTGAAGACGGTTCCATGGAATCAGTTCCATACCAGTAGGAAGACTCTCTCTCACACACACACGTGGCACACACACACACACACACACACACACACACACACACACCCCTGTCATGCACACGTCAAGTCCCCCAAAGCCTGAATGGTTACCTGTGCCTCACGGGTACTAAAAACCCACCTCAAACACAAACTAGTTTCATTTACCCACCTCAGACTCCAGGGTTAGAGCTACAGAGGATCCAGAAACTTCTAGGCTAATGGTTTCCAAACATGTTTGACCACGTACCTCAAGTTAAACTGAATCTCCATTGCAGCCACTTTAATTGACAAGCAAGCACATACATGGGCACATGGCGGGGAAGTTCTTGGATTTCAGAAACAGATTGCTAAGTTCAAGTCCCTCCCCGGCCGTCACTACGTGTGGAACCGAGGACAAATGACTTCCTCTCTTACCTGGAAAGTGGGGGTGGCATCAGTCTATCTCAAAGCCCCACAGCTATTATGAGAATGGCATGGAGTAATGGTGGAGTGTATTTAGATTGCTGCCCAACACTGGCAAGCTGATGAGAGGCAAACGTAACGGGAGGGGATGCCCCAAGCCATGCTCAGCCTTACTAGGTGAGCACACTGAAAGATTACGGCTCAGAAGTCTAAAAATCTGTACCCATTAAATTGATTCCATGACCTACGGCGTGATGTGTGGCTCAAAAACAAACCACAGAGCTAAGCCTACTGCCCTTTCACAGACTGGGAAACTGAGTCCCAAGAAAGTCACACTTCCCTCGGGCCCCTTTTCCTTCTTCTGCACCATGCCTCTTCCCAGACTGGCCTTGCTTTATGGCCAGCTGGACATTTGCGAGTGTCCTCTTCCCTCATTGCCCCTCCAGCCCCAACCTGCCCCAGATTGCCCCTGGTGACAGCAACAGGCTTCCCATTTCAAAGCCCAGCCCCCCTACTCTGGCAAGATCAGAGTTGAGGCGTGTTACCCTCTGCCCAGACTCCGTGGCTTTGATGTCTCTGACATCTGGTTTTCATTTGGGAGGAACGCTGCTGTTGGGTGGGTAGTTACCTCAGAGCACCCAGTACAAACAGTGGGCACAGAGGCCGGCTCCTGCTTCCTCACTTTCACTCACACACCCTGGCCCCTGGTCACCTCCCCAGCCCCTCATGGCCCCTGGGGCGGGGTGGGGGGTGGGGGCTTCACTGTATCTCCTCCCAACAGCTGACCAGTTTCCCCTAAAACTTCCAGAAACAGTTCTTAGTACATATTCTTCTTGTTTTTTTAAAATCGCCATCTCTGCAAGTCGCCCCTGGTTCATTTCTTCCCTTCCGTCTTCCTTTCTCTCCCCCACGCCCACCCCCAAGGAAAACAGAAAATCTGAAGGGCTGGGCTGAACCGGTTGGGCTAAATCATTCGACAGGCATTGCTTCACCTGTTAGCCGGTGTATTTGGGTTTCAAATGATTGCTTCTTGCCTTGCCGCCCATAGTTAGCTTTTTCAATTGAGTTTGAGACTCCATGACACAGTGACAAATTTGAACTCGCAAATTAGGACGCTTCGAGGTTACTGGCTGTTTACTTTGAGCAAAAGGCAGGCTCGGCAGTGGGAAACACGGAAGGTTATGTGCCTGGTATTGAAGAGCAGGAAGGTGGGAAGTCGACCGTGAACAGTCTCTTCAGCATGTTTACCCATTTCCTCAGCTCCCGGCTTTATTAAATAGTGTCCTGAAGGGCGCCCCACAAAGGCACCCAATCACATGCCATAGTGCCAAGGAGCACACACAAAGACAGGAGGTACAATGCCCTCGCTGCTTCTTCGGGGCATCTGGTTAGAGGGCAGCTCTTAGGATACACTCACCTCTCCACAACACCCAGGTTTCCAGAATTCTTCCCGCCCCACCCAGGGCCTGACTCACAGCCTCATTCATTCCCCACATAGTTGATGAATGACTGACCGGGTGAGCAAGAAAACAAGTGAATGAATGGATGTGTGAATCACCTACCTGGCCCAGGTTTAAACCGGCTGCGTGCAGTGTGGTTTGACCTTGCCAGGCTTAGTGTGTGCTCCTTCTTCTAACGTTTGTCAGAAGCTGCCAGCATTGGTGAGCCTGGAGATTTTACTAAGGGATGGTAGGCCTCTCTGGAGGTGGGGAGGGGATTTTTGGAAGAGCTAGCCAGACTAGGTTATCGCCTCTCTGGGCCTCTCTGTCTTTTGAATCAAGTCATGGTGCCTCGGGTGACTCTTGGTTGACACCACTACCTATCTACCACACCCCACTCTTCCCCCCTACCCCACCCCCGTCAGCTTCCCGGCAGAATGGGAACTATATCCAGTGGGTGTTTTAATTGGCCATACCTTGACCAGAAGGTGTACCCCAAATTACTTCACCCAACCTCAGTCTCTTCAAACCCATGGTCCCATCTGTCCATGGCCGTGAAACACCAACACGGAGTCTCGATCCAGGCTTCCTAAGCTGCAATGTCACTCACAACCTTGGGGACAAGTACTCCTGATTATTTTATGGTAGGTGGGCCCCCACGGGCCAAATTGTTTCATAGGGTTGGTTTTGATCCCAAATAAATCCTGTCCAGCATAGTGAGAGTGTGGTGGGGTTTTTTTTTGTTTTGTTTTGTTTATTGAGAAAGCAGGGCCAAGCAGCGAGGCCCACCAGCAGCCACGAAGCGGCCCGGTTTCCCACGTCGCAGAAAGGTGCCGCTGTAAGCGTGGAGATGTTCCCATCGGTTTTGGTGGGCAGCATTCATTTTGACTGTGCGCCCTACCACACCACCCTCTTAACCGAACACCCAAATGTGGTTCAGCTCCACTTTGGGGGTCAGCCTCATCCACCCCACGGCTGCCACCTCTGTGCTGTCCTTGGGGAGCCTCCGGTGCGGGGTCCGGAGCCTGGGTGTGTGCTCACGCCCGTTGCAGCTTCTTCGGGAGTTCGGGATAGTTATCATTCAGCTGAAGGGGCCCTCGTTCCTCCACCGACAGCTCGCACGGGTGAATTCAGGTTGTGTGCACATCTGTGCAACTTCCCTTTCCTCCTTGCAAGCTCACACCCTATAAAGAAGATTTCTAGCTTTGGGCATCTTCCCCGGCTGGGTTACGGTGCATCATCCGTAAAAAATGCAGCATTTTTTCTTCTCTCCCTCCACCTCCACAGACTCAAAGCCCACAGTGGAGACACTGGGACCCACCGTAAAGAGCGAAGAGACTACCACCCCGTATCCCATGGAAGAGGATGTCACAGAGTGTGGGGAAAACTGCAGCTTTGAGGACGGTAAGGATTGGGACGGTCATTGTATTTCATCTGGGATGGCCTGGGTACGGACCAGACGGATGGCCCATGATGGGGGCAAGAACTTGAGATACCTTGGGTTAGAGGTCCACGTGAACTTACAGAAGGCATCAGGGAGGTACAAATACTCAGAGGCCTGAGGCAGTGGCTATTAGAGACACTTAGGTATTGGAACAGCTAGTATAGCCCTACAGATACAAACTCACCGCTAAGGTAAGGGCTTGACGTAGTAAAAGGAAAATCATTCCCAGCCTAAGAAGTAACAGCGGCAACGGCTTTTCCTGTTGGGATGTGCCTCTGTGGTACAGTCATAGGAAGAACTGGTGTCTCTTTTAGGGGGAGGGCCATTGCCTGTGATAGCCAAGTTAGGCCATCAATTAACCAGGATCGATGCATTTCCCTGTGTCTTCACAACAATCTTGATTTAGGAAAGTGTCACGGGGACGATTCTACCAGACTGCATGTCACATCTTCTATGTGTCATACCACACAGGCCAGGGGCAAAGGCAGGGCATGAAGTAACCTCAGCCAGTTCTTCAAAAACCCAAGGGTTCCTAGTTCTTTTTGATCATCTCTTCACATGAGAAATCTTTGTTACCCTCATTTTGTCTTCAAAACATATCCGAGTTAAGTCAGTAATTGGAAGATCCCAAAGGCAAGTCCTATTTTTTTTAATGCTACTGTTCAAGTTTCCTTATATTAGGACATTACTGATCAGCCACAACTTTTACAACACCTGGCATTTGGGGTTGGACTTTGAAGTTTGACAACCTCAATTTACAGTAAGTTACTGATCGTTATGTGTATTAAACAAAACGAGGAAAGATTAGCAAGGAAGCTTGAGAAGGGATGGAAAGACGTAGATGACTGAGGAAACCCTGGAACCTGCTCACAGCCAGGGGGCAGCATAGGAAAATGCCTAGTAATGTGAAGGACTCCAAATCTTAGCCATTAATGGCGCACGCCTTTAATCCCAGCACTCTGGAGGCAGAGCCAGGTGGATCTCTACGAGTTCGAGGCCAGCCCGGTCTACAGAGCGAGATCCAGGCCAGGCACCAAAAAGACACAGAGAAACCCTGTCTTGAAAAAATAAAAAATAAAAAGAAGAGTGGGAGGAAAGCCAAAAATTAATGCTGAAATTGTGGGATTGAAAAATGATAATTAAATGCGTATGTTTTGGGGAGTGTGCTTTGGTATATTGTGTGGGTAGGGGACACTGTTGGTCAGGGTTAGCTGAATACAAAATCTCCACATTTTAATGACCTTGTTTTAGTTTCATAATGAGAAGTGGAGAATCTTCCAAGACATCTCCGAGACAGCGAGAGCTGGAAATGAAACACACACGGAGTTTGTGCATGGTATTAGATTCACAGAGTTAGCGTGTCAGAGGCATGGGAATGGGGAGCCCAGCTACACGGCCATCCAAAGGAAAATTTAAGGGTTCTGCTGCAAAATTTCAGAAGTTTATTTTTAATATAATTTTACCGTTTACAGTGGTTTGTTTGATTTGAGGTTTCTTTGATGGCCTCTCCCCTTCATTTCGGTAAAAGATCTTCATGTGGAATTTGGTTCCTGAGATACAGTATGCGTATAAACATTTCAGAGGAATTATGGTATATTGAATTACTCTGTATTTTTGAATGGAAAAATAGACATGTGGAGAAGTTGTGGAGAAGAGGGCTATAGACTGACTTTCCCAAGCCACAGGTTGATGCTTCTGTGATGGGTTCCATGTGTTTCCTTTCCAGTCCAGCTGACTTTGGCTAAGGGTGGGCAAACATTAAATGTTCCCTCTGGGGAAGGCGGGACACAAGTAGGGTCTGCTGGCAATCTGCGTCCTGCTGCTGAGATCAGCGGCACCCCTTGCCTCTAAGGCCAAGCGCCCTCCACCCCATGGAGAGCAATTTGTCTCTACCCAGCTGCTGTTGGCTTTAGACGTCTTAACCAGCGTTCTGAACCTTCCCCGTGGAAATTCTTCTCTGGGAACTTGGGAAAGGAAGCGAACAGGCCAAAGACCCCACTTCCTCTGGGCTAGTAGCTTTGCCCACCCTCTTCCTGTGTCTCTGGCAAGTGTCCAGGTTTGGGTTCCCATTTTCCCTTTCCCCACCACGGTACCACCCCCCACTTAATTTCAAGACTAGCATTATTAACTCATCCTGGGTTTTTAGATCTGGGTGGAACCCCAGAGAAAACCCACTTGGTTCCGCCTTTGGGCTCAGCTAAGTAAATCTCTAAAGTAGACAGGGTGAGCCATTATGTGGTCACTTTTTAGAGATTCCCAGAGAGCGTGTTGGTCACCACCCCTGGGATCCCAACCGACAGGAGCTCTGTTCATGTACTGCAGAGTAAATGGGGTCACAGTACTGACCCACCAAGCCTAGCAGATCAAACTACTTCCTATCTTACTCAGCTCTGAGCTGGGCAGCTCCAAGGGTGACCCCCCCCCCTTCATTCTCACTCCTAACATGTCAGATTGCCCACCTGACAATGCCCAACTATCCCAACCCCCTGAAATAAGGGATGTGTCGCAAAGAGGTAGAGGATGGCATACAAGCCAGCCTTGTTTCTGAGGTCACTTTCTTGGCCTCAGCTAGAAGTTCCCTGGCATTCAGGTCTCTCTGGGTGCTAGCAGGCTGCCCCATCACTTCTGAGAGCCAGGCTGGCAGGAGATGAGATGATCCTCTTAGGGAGCCAGTGAGGCACTGGGGAGACATTCTTCTCTGGCATTTTAGGGAGCAGCAATTTTCACATTTGTCTGCTCTCCGAGGTAGACAGAGGAGGCTGGTTAGAGCCTGAAGCCATTTGGTGGCCTCATTTGTAATTGCTTACTATGGGAATCACTGGCAGACTTGGCTTTCATGCTTGGGAAGGATGAGACCAAAGTCTGACCCAAAAGTCAGTGATCGCCAAGATGAGTGAAGTGAACGGGCAAAGGGGACCCCTTCTTTCTCTGCTTCATACTCAGGCCTTGGCAGCCATTGACATGGCGTCGCTGTGGCTGGACGCTGGGCCTGCTTCGTTGGCCTACCTTTGGTTACTTTTCTTCTCCTTTTAGACAAAGACTTGCAACTCCCTTCGGGATTCAACTGCAACTTTGACTTCCCCGAAGAGCCCTGCGGTTGGATATACGACCATGCCAAGTGGCTCCGAAGCACCTGGATGGGCAGTGCCAGCCCCGATGACCGAACATTTCCAGGTAAGGCGGTGGAAGCAGCCTATGAAAGATGGAAAGAAGGCCAGCAGCATACTCCCTTGCAGGCTTCGTAGCTTCCCACCACAGAGCAGTCTTCTGCTCCTGGCCCACAAACCACCACAGGCGTCCGCGCGCACGCGCGGGCACACACACTGGCTGGTCTGTGGTTCCTAGCCCACTCAGGATATTTCAGCCCAACTTGAAGCTGCTAGCGAGAAAGAGAAACCAGGATCAATGAGAGAAAGAAGCCACTGGGAGGTCCTTAGGAGATGCTAGGAGTCCACTAGTGTCCCCTTGTCCCCCTCGCCAGCACAGGCAGCTATGGTCACACGGCCTCTTGTCAACAACAAGGTATTGTTCCCAAAGCTGCTCATTGGGAAACCGCTGCCCTTGATTCTGACTCATAGCTCTGTGGTTACCGCCGCTCCAGGACTGAAATGCTGCCATGCACAGGGTGTGACCCCGTGGATGGGATGCCCACGGGTGTGTCTTAGCAAAGAGCCAGCCAGGCGCTTGGTCTATAAAGGAGACTGGCCGTCTTTTGGCCCCCAAAAGCCAGATCTCAGAAGCCCAGGGAATGAGGAAGAAACAAAGCTGGCTGCTGGTTCTGCCCTCACCTGCCCTAACAGTTGGAGATGCTTTAGCAATAGGCTTTCCAGGGACTGAAACAAAAATCCCAAACTTGCTCCATGAGGTGCGCCTCATTCGATGGTAAAAACACTCTCCCCACAGTTCAGTGAGTCACAGACAGGAGGCGGAGCCGAGACCCGCAGTAAGGGGGCCGGGGAGTGTATCTCCACGGTACAGATACAGAATATATTGAAATGACTAGGAAATGTTGAGTTGGGGGTGTTTATTATTTTCCGTTTTAATGTAATTGAATATAGTCCTTTGTCATTTAATTTTTAATAACGATTATATTTAATTGGCTTGTAAAGCTCCAGAATTTAACAAGTGGCGGTCACAAGCCAGTACGCCTTGGTCCAAAACACTCTGATTAGCTTTCATTTTTCATACACCTCCTGCCTGGACCTCAGATGCCCATAAATAAGCCTGGGGGAGAACAGGGGATTATTTCTGGAAATTTAGCAGGCTGAATGTTGGTGGCGTGCTCTGGGAAAAGGCTAGAAAATGAAAGAGGAGGGACCCCCACACACACACTTACTGGCTTCCTCAGAGCTGCCCTCACCCCAAGTGCTGATGGTGCCTCCCGCCCCTAGGAGTTCAAGGAGGGAGGAAAGCTCTAGAAGAACACTTGGGGCCAGTCTCCTGCCATAGCCCACACTTGCTTTCCCAGAGGGTCACAGCGTCCGCTCGGAAGAAAAACATTTTCATATTTCAAGTGTTTATCTCTTCAGCCTTTGAGTGCCGGCTCAGAGAGATTTGTATCTGAGGATCACCACAGCCTCGGGCTCAGGAGGGAGAGCACTTACTCCAGTCCCGGCTCTAATCCCCCTCCCTTCCTCACTCTGCAATAATGTTTAATTAATATAATGAGCCTCCTGCACGTTGGGGAAAAAATACTTATTTTTATAACCCAGCCTGCATTTTTCATTTCATTTTCTCTCCTTTGAGACTGGGTCCAATTAATTGGTGGTTTTTCCCAGCCCCCATCTTCGTCTGAATGTAAGAAAGGTGAATGGGGGTATATGTGTGTATGTGCTTAGATTTTGTCTGAACGAGAGATAGGGATTGGGGGTGAGGGGTGGGTTGTAAGGTGCAGCTCGGCTGAGGCACTTTGAATAAAGGGTTGTACACATGGACTCTCGGGGCTGGGGGAGGGCGGGAGGATTTATCATTTCTTATCCAGGGTCCACTTTTAGGCCTTTCTAATCCTCGGGCCTGCCCTTCCTGTGTTTCTAAAAGGGTTTCCTCTGAGGGTGTCTGAGGCTAGCCCTACCTAGGCTACAAGGCCACCAGTGAGCAAGGAGTAGTTCTGGTACAGCTCACGCCACCTCCCCTCTGCCATAGCCCGTTGTCCTGCCCCCCCCCCCACTTTGTTCAGACCCCACCCTCACCTGAATGCCTGGTCCCTTGACCCTTGCTCCTGGTTGGAAATTGTAGTCTTCGTCTTTGTTTCAGCCGATTCATTACACTCTGCAGTTTGGGAGGGCTTTTCGGAGCAGGCTAAGGAAGGGGACATCTCTCCAACCTTTGGCTGAATAGATGGGGACCGAAAGAAAATCAGGGCCATCAAGAACTACTGGGTCTAGTGTTGAGAAGGAAACGGTTATTCTCCTTTTCCTGAGCATCACTGAAGTTTAGGCCCGCGACACTTGTGACCTGACTCCAGGAAACAAAGTCACAGTGTTGTTCTCAGAACCTTTCCCTTTATCCTCCGATGATTAAAAAAACCCCGTCTTCTCTATTTCCCCACTGTCCTGCTTACAAAACTCCACATCACACTGTAAACAGAAAATAGACACCTTTCTGTTTGGGGTGGTCCCTTCTTGTTTTAAAAAAAAGATGGGGGTGGCGTGGACCGCTGAGGGAAGCATTTGGGAGAAAGGAAAGGCTGTGCTGGACTTGGGGCGGGGACAGTGCCAACGGGTGCAGCGTGGCTGGCGCCTGGCCCCAAACCTGAAAGCCACTGTGTCACCCTACTTTGCTCTTCCGCAAGGAGACCAGACCCATTGTTCTCCGGAAGTGTGCCGCATGCCTCATCCCCTTCGTAAGGAGGTAAACGGAAGTCATTGCATTTTTGGAAAGGAGGCATCTCAGTGGACCGCCCCGCCGAGGAGGTGGGGATGAAGGGAGAGCGGGACGGGGTGAGCTGGCCATGTTGAAACACAACACAGACCGGTTGATCACAAGTGTCCATGGAAACTACTGACATTGCTTAGATATTTTCCTGATTTTGAGTTGTTTTCTCGTGTTCTCGTTCCATTTTTTCTGCTCCCTTTTAAGTCCGCAATTAGTTCTGTTCCTTTGGCTGGTGGTAATGGTTGCTCTGGGCTGACAAGACACCCACTGGTTTCATTCCACTGTTTTTGTTTTTCAACATCGTCTTTCAAGCCGCTCAGAATTTCTTTTTTTAGCTCTGTGGCTGTGCTGCCTAGAGTGTGATCATACCAACCCCCCCTCCCCACGAGGGAGCGGGGACGTGTTCCAAACTCGGTGACCCCTGGTGGTAGCAGAGGAGTCTGTTCTGCCCTGACCAGCCACTTTGCCTTCCCTCTGAAGCTACAGTGACAAAGTGTGCTCTTAGCAGAACAGGCCTATTTTCTACAGACGTACCCCGACCTTTGATCACAAACAGAGTTCCGTGAGTGATCAGAGTTGGATCTATAAAGGAAGGAAGGACACAAGCCTTCCTTGAGATGATAGGGTGGGCCTGCTTTCCAGCTCTCCCGTGTTGGGTAAGGAGCCCCCAACTGTGGCTATTCGGACACTAGCCCCGGAATGAGCCCCCAATCCTTGGTGAGGCTTCCGTAACTTGGTTTAGTGGAAACCCAGAAGCAAGAAGTTAGGGAGATGGATTTGCCTGAGTCGGTTCTGCAAGTGTTGTACTTGATGGCTACGTATTTTCCTGTGTGTGCTACTCTGTCTCCCTCGGTAACCATGGGGAAATAACCAAGGAACACAGCATTAAGAACTATTTGGTGGTCACACAGATATAGTATACGAAGTAAACAGTAATACCGATTGCATTGATAGCTGTTGTTATGACCATTATTATTGTCAAGAACAAGATAAGACCTGGGCCTGAAGGTGTCGGCATGTAGTCTCAGCTACTTGAGAGACAGGGCAGGAGGACGGAAAGTTCAAGGTCTGCCTGGGCTACAGAGTGAGTTCAAAACCAGCTTAGGCAGCTCAGCAAGACCCTATCCTAAAAGGCAAAGAGAAATGAGAGCTGAGGTTGTAGCTTAGGGGCAGAGTGCTTGCCTAGCATCTGGGAGTGCCTGGGTTCAATCCTGAGCACCACTGGGGGGAGGAGAGGGGGAAAGAGGAGAAGGAGATAAGACCAGAGATTAACAGGATTCTGTCCAGGCAGCCTCCTGATGGTGATCCAAGTGTGATCTGGAATGTGTGCTCTTTCGCTCTGGAATATGTGTGCTCTTTTAAACATTGATTGACCTTGTGAAGGGCAATTACTGTGTGCCTTTACTTCACTGACTAAAAGCCATGAAAGCATCTAAAGAAAACAGGCAAAGCCTCCTTGGACTAGGGCACCATTGTGAAGGGAGCTTTGCCCAGCTTACGACAGGGACTGAGACAACAGCGCCTTTGCTCGGGTTCAAAGGCAACCTCAAGTGGGAGAAGCCAAGAGTCTAAACATTCGGGGTTTACACATGGCGACCGTCCCTTCAAATGTGAGTAGTAGACCCTGTTCATTTCTCACTGGGGGTGTTCCGATGCAGACTCCAGCAGAGTGGGAGACCAGAGCCCTGATGCACCTTGTGTGTTCAAGAGAGGATAAAGGGAACTATGCCGGAGTGTGTTCGGCACAAGTGCATGGAGAAATCAAAGGAAATCATTGATGGATGAGCTCACAATGGGCTTGATTTTTGACAGTAAGCTAGCCATGACTCTGAATTTAAACATCTCTCTCTGAGCTCAAAAAAATCAGATGGCAGCTGGCAACCCAGATACTCAGATAGCCTCAGTTCAGTGGTTCTCAACAGTTTCTCGTGCTGTGGCAACCCCCAATCATAAAATTATTTTCGTTGCTACTTCGTAACTGTAACTTTGCTACTATTATGAATAGTAATGTTAGTATCTGATTTGCCATCCCTTGGAAAGGAACATTCAACCTCCCCAAAGGGGTCTAGACCCACAAGTTGAGAACCACTGCCTCCGATTGAATCGCCTTCAGAGGAGGCTGCTGTTGTTTTGGCTGGGGCATAGCCCTTGCAAATTCAAGGGCAGAAAACTGGGGCTTTGGACCCCGATAGACTGTTAAAGGGTAGGAAGAGCTGAGGTAAAAACGAGCAATAGTCAGGGGATAATTCCAACTAGAAAAGGAAGGAATGGAGACCTCTTGTAAGATGGGAGGAAAACATCCCCGGCTTTGTGGAAAAGATGACAAAAGAGAGAGAAGCTGCTATCCGGTTTTTCTGAAAATCACGAGGGACCGAGTTGATAACGAGGCGTCAGAATAAGAACAGAGCTATCTAGAAGGCAGAACTGTATGTGGAAGCTGACAAATTCCCCTCACCCCCCCCCCCAAAAAAAACCACATCTCCAGGTAGCTGCCTGCAAGGACTGGCCAGGCTGAAAACTTCAATGTCCGTGGAATGTTCTATCATAAACCTTGAAAACATCCTGCTGAGTTCATCCAAAGTCAATGTTTCCCTTAACTGGTTGTTAATTTGAGGACCTTAGCTGAGATAGACTGACCTTGGGAGGCCAGCTGAGGGGCTGACTCATGTTTTAAGTATGACCTATACTAAGAGACTGCATCTCCTGCTTCGCTAAATATTCTTTCAGATGGTGGGTCTAGTAGGAGGGCAAGATGCTAGCCAGAAGATGTGTGTGAGGGACAGATGGCGTGCTTGGCTTTGCAATAGCCAGGAGGATCAAGCTGGTGATTTATTTTAGGGTTGGTGAAAGGGGAGTAGACACAATTGAATTCATCGCGATTGGGCCAACCTCAGTCACGTGTCCATAGGACACTCAAGCAGCTGAAGCCAGATGGGACCATAAATCGCCAGGTGAAATATCAAGAGACGCTTCTTGAGACAGCGTCAGGTGAAGCGCCTGAATGACCCTGACCTCTGCACTTCCTCTCTGCCCTTTTGAACCCGTGTTGCTCATTCCCATCTGATTGTTTTTTTCTCTGTCTCATTGGCAACAACAGACTTTCTGAGTCAAAGGATGCAGCAAAATGCCTCCCAAGTATGTCAGGTCCAGGAGCTCAGCGATTGCGTCTTGGGTGTAGCTAGAGTTTTCCTGCCTTGCCACAGTCAGGACAAATCTCTGTCACCCGCCAGTCCCACAGCCACTCAGACCCAACCAAGTAAACACAGAGACTTATATTGCTTACAAACTGTATGGCCGTGGCAGGCTTCTTGTTAACTGTTCTTATAGCTTAAATTAATCCATTTCCATAAATCTATACCTTGCCACATGGCTTGTGGCTTGTGGTGTCTTCACATGGCAGCTGCCAGCCTCTCTCACTCAGCCTTCCACTTCCCAGAATTCTTCTCCTCCTTGTCCCGCCTATACTTCCTCCTGCCTAGCCACTGGCCAATCAGTGTTTCATTTATTGACCAATCAGAGCAACAGATTTGACATACAGACAATCCCACAGCACTTGGGGACATTATTTCTTCATTCTTTTTTGGCAACACTGAGTGTCTTGCCTTTCCACTCTCTTTTTGTTGGATGCTATCCGTTGCCAGTATCCTAGCCATCAAACACGCAACAAGAAGGCAACTTCCAGCAGGCAAGGCTGGGTCTTAGGTGGCCAGGTGTCATATTAGGGCAAATTCTTTGACAATCCAAAGGGTTCCTCCCAAATGACCAAGGAAATTCACAAAACAAGCCTGTCCACAGGCTCTGCCAACCCGTCTTTCTATCAGGTAGCTGGCAACCACTGTGAACTTCCTTAGTACCTAGCCAGCCGTGGTAGGCCGCAAGTTGGGATGTTTCCGAATGGTCTTCACTTTCAGTATCTTGTATGCATGTCAGGACTTAGGAGAGATGAAGTACTTAGCTCCGAAGGGTCAATGGAGACATACGAAGACCCAGGAAAGGGACAGTTAAAGGGACAAGGGTTGTGTTTCCCCGTGAAGTGCAGACTGTCTTGATTCTCTCTCTCTCTCTCTCTCTCTCTCTCTCTCTCTCTCTCTCTCTCTCTCCTTCCCTCCCACCTCCTCTGAGTGTGTGTGTGTGTGTGTGTGTGTGTGTGTGTGTGTGTGTGTGTGTGTACCATAGTGCACAACCTCTGATATCAGTCCTTACCTTGCATCTTGTTTTAGACAGTGTTTATGCACTAGTGTACCTCAGGCTAGCCCAGAAGCTTCCATTGTTTTCCTTGTATTTTCCGCCCATCTCCACGTAGGGGTACATCACAGGTAGATTTACAGACTCATGATTTTAACTCAGTTCTGGGGACCTGAATTTGGGTCATCAGGCTTGTGAGGCAAATGCCTTATTTACTTAGCCAACCACCCAGCCCCCTTGGACTTCTTAATACCTTATGAGTCAAAATGCTTCTAAGTCAGAGGACAGAAACTGGCTGCACTCCATCAGGGATGGGTGGAGGAAATGTGTTCACAGGACAGCAGGAGATGTCAAACTGAGTTTGAGATGTTCCTGACAGTTAAGGTTGTGGCCTGCAGAACACATTGCCAGTGTGGCCTGTGAAGGACCTTTCTGAAGAGAAGGGTGGATGGTATAATGTCAGGATATTTCTAAATACCTCCTCTGGCCCATGCTAGTAGCCACGTGGGGTCCCACTCAAGATCCAAGACAGTATCACATTTGATTGCATCTTTTATAAATGATCACAGAAGACCTATAGTGAGTGGTATGTGATGGGCAGCTGGGAGCTGGCTGGTTCCTGGAGTTGAGACAGATCTTGGAAATCATCCTATTTCAAAGAGTGTCAATACCCTCCTTGGATTAACCTCTACTTCCTTTGGCATCTTGCTCTGGCTTCCCCAGGTTAATGGTGGTCTTTGGCCTGTGGGAGGCAGTGTGTGGATCTCTTTTAGCCCTGTTACCATGCAAAGTGCTTTACAGGGCCCATTCTTACAACCTTGTGCAGTAGTACCACTATTATATCCATTATACAGATGGAAAGACTAAGGCTTTCAAAGGTTTAGAGCCTCTGGCCGGGATTCCACCCCAGGTGACAAGGAGCGAGCAAGTTGACTCAGTCCCATTTGGGTTCAGATCCCGCTTTCATCACTCCGTGGCATTGGTCCTGGAAACATGACCTCACATCTCTGAGCCTCAGTTTCCTTTCTGAAAATGGAGAAAATAAGCTTGATGTGGAGTGGGGCACGTTTCCAACCCCAGGATTTGAGAGGAGCAGGCAGGAAGATCATGAATTCAGTGCCAGCCCAAGCTACTTAGCAGGACCTGGGAGGGGGCCGGGGGGTGGGGTAGATACCGACATTACCCCTGGCACGGGGATGGACAAGAATCAAGAATCCTAACTAAGGGTAGATCTGCAGTGGCACACAGAACCCATTCCATTCCACCATCCTCATCCTCTGCTTTTATTTCTCCCATTCCTTGAGCTTTTCCTGGTCCGAGTCTTTCCCTTCCTGGTGTCCCTGGTTCTAATCAGGCCTCTCTCGGCGACAGGCAGGGATGTTTTGCAGCGCAGCATCCCTCTGACTGATGTCGCCTGCTAATTCCTTGCATTTACATATCATCTTTCTTCCCCGGGGCTCCCAGCACTTAACAGACAAGTGGGGCACAAATGATTTAACTAAGTGAAATCCAGAGGCCTGCTTGTCTGGAGACTCTGCAAACTCGTGGATTAGCTCAGATGTCAGCGCTGAATTATGATCCTTAGCTGCTTGCGCTTAGCACGCCACCAGCATTAACTCGGTTCTTGCCGGGGTCCTGTAAATCATGCATAGTGATTATCAGCCTATTGTGAGAGGAGGGAGGGGAGAGGGAAGGAGAAAGGAGGGGGCTCTGGGGGCTCTGGGGGCTCTGGGCCAGCTCGCTGGGAAACCTTTGGCCTGGTTGACTTCTAATGACAGGGTGAGTAGGTAAGATAGACCCGGATAAAATCCTTGCAGCCCGCCATTTCACACCCCCCCACACACACATTTGGCTTTTCCCAGTCGGTAACCATCCTGCTATGATTCCTTCGCTTAAGAATGCAAATTCACACAAGTGACAGAATTTCCGCCAAGCAATGCTCAGGCGGCAAGTGGGTCTTATTTGTGAAACTGGGAAGGGAGAAGGCTGAATGCGAAGTCTCTCAAATGTGCTTTCCTTTATAGATGGGTGCAAAGAGTAAGGGCTTGGAAGTTACGGGAGCCCAGGGGACCAGGGGGACCCTCACTGGCGTGTGCTGGTCGGTCGACTGGGAGCCTCCACAGGTTACCCTGGTGTTGGGCTGCTTCACCTTTGAAGGGGGGCTGCTGGCTCAGGAAACCAGAGGCGATGGCGTAGGGATTACATGAATCTGAAGGCTTGGCAGAGGCTAGCAGACTCTCCCTCTCTCCTCCTTACAGAGCGTTCTTTTTTTTTTCCTCTGCATGTTTGTCATTCACTCATTTACTCATTCATGAAACCAAATTTCCCCGAGTAGCGCGATGATATACGTGGACTAAGGAAAGGAGAAACATGCAGCATTAAACATCACGTGTGCAGGACGTAAGATGGGAGACTGTCAGACGGCCCAGCAGGCAAGGGTGCTTGCCACAAAACCCGATGGCTGGAGTTCAGTCCCTGGAAAGCCACGTGGTAGAAAGAAAGAGCCAATTCCTGAAAATGCTCCTCTGACCTCCTTGTGTGCACTGTGCCACACTCATATGCACAATCACATGCACACACTTGAGCATGCGCACACACCCACACCTTAAATAAAAAAAGTTTAAAAATCTTATATGGTGGGCAGCGGCGGTGGCGGCGGCGGCGGCAGCGCACGCCTTTAATCCCAGCACTCTGGAGGCAGAGCCAGGCGGATCTCTGTGAGTTCGAGGCCAGCCTGGTCTACAGAGTGAGATCTAGGACAGGCACCAAAGCTACACAGAGAAACCCTGTCTCAGAAAAAAAAAAAAAAAAAAAAAAAAAAAACTTATATGGCAAGAAAGATACATTATGACCCAGTTAAGTGAGTGCCAGGTAGTGGGTAGTTGCCCCGGAAAATGGCCTCCACTCCTTTGAAAGGTAGGTAAGATCAGTGGTGTAGTTAACAAAGGCTAGAGTTGTTGAGAAAGTGCGGGTGAATATGACATGCGCCGGAATGGTTAGAAGAGCTGGGCTATGTGGGGAAGAGGAGGTACCGGGAGGGACAGGCAAGCTCAGACAGTGAGGCAGCAGGGCCCTGAGGAAGCGGGCTTGCCTCAGAGAGTGACTGCAAGGTTTGGGGGCAAGATACCTGCAGACAGCTGAAATAAAGAGTTTACTGCAGAGAAGTGGGGGGATCCCTCCGTTAAGTCCGGGGGGGGGGGGTCTGCTTCTGAACCACCATTTTCTCCTTGTACAAATTGCTTTATTTAACCTTTCTTGGTTTCTCCATGGTGTGCAGAGGAACACGGGGAAGTCTTAGCTCGCCAGCAAAGAGCCAGGATGAGATGAGATAATACATACCAGTGTGCTTTGTCACCTGTGAGGCGGCCGAGTGCAATTTTGAGTTGTAATTATTAGCATTAATAGTGGTAGCAGAGAGATCTGGTGGGGAGACAGGGGGTTAGAGGACCCCTGAGCATCTGGTGATGCTATCAGCATCCCTTGCTCAGCAGACCCCATCATTAAAGCTGTGCTCTGGAGGCAGCCTCCTCTCCCTTATCTGTGCCTTGAACAGTCTGGAAGGTCTGCCGTAGGCTTAGCTCTCACCTAGCAAGATGATGCCAGCAGGTGTAACAGCAGCAAATCAGAGAGGACCCCCACCCCCCATCCCGGAGAGGGTGCTCACCCAGGCTTCTGGAATGCAAGCCTATCCTTCCCCAACAAACCCAAGGTGTTCACCATCCCTATTGACTGGAAAAGCTCGGTGCTCATGTGTCAGGCTAACATGGCATCCTATTAACAAGAACCAGAAGTGTCTGGCCTGCTCACATTCCAAACTGGATACATAGCGAAAATATGTCCCTGCCCTGCTCGCAGAGGAGTTGAGCGGACCATGACCCTCATCTCAGGGCCCAGAGCAGATCGTGAGACCTCCTCTTCCTCCTCTGTGCGTTTGCTGTCTGTATGTACCACAGGCTGGAGTTGCCCATCTCTGAACCCGTGTCTGCGAGGCATACGGGCTGCCAACCGTAACGGGAGCTCAGCCTTCCACCGAAGTGTCGGATGGATTTAAAACCCATCTGCCAAAAAGGGCCATTCTTGAAGCATTTGGACAGTGAACCCTTAATTTCCCAGGACGTGCATATTCTCTGCTAAACATACAGCCTTGGTTAAATGATCGTGGCCATACCTTTTAAACCCCCGGAGCTGTGTGTGCATGGCTGTTTGAGAAAGGCCAAGTCCAGGAGGAAAAGGGGATGTCCGGCCACCCCCCACCCCTGATCTACTTAAAGTTGACATGAGTGCCCGAGTGACAGATACTGAGGCCCAGGCATCATCTAACAGCCCTGGCAGGGACAGAAGGTTTTTAATGTCCTCCATTTGGACAGTGCCCAGACAGACAACAAAGACTCGAAGTGTAAGCCACCTGGCTGGAGTCGCCCTCCGATCCGGCAGCCACCTCAGCCCTATAAACTCTTCCCTTATAATTCAGTTCATCAGGACGGCATTGGCCCTTTGCATAAGCCAAAGATGAATAAGACATGGGTCAGGCCTCTTAGAACCCAGGGAGAAGAGACAAGCCTATACACAGCCAAGATTTCAGGTTGGCCTTGCCAGGGGCTGTCTCTGAAAGCCACACGACACAAGCGATCCAGAGAACCGGAAGAGGGACCCATGTGACTCGAAGACTGAAGGAAGAACTTCAGGAGGAAGCAGCAATAGAATCCAGACTCTGAAGGGGCCTTAGAAAGGCACACAGTGGGCTCAGCATGGTGGCACACACCTACAGTATGAGCACTCACTCGGGAGGCAGGAGCAGGAAGGCTGTAAGCTCAAGGCCAGCCTGACCTGCACAGCAAGACCCCAACATGTTTCAAAACACCCCCAAAACTCCGGTCCGACTTTCCGATGGTGGGGCCACAGTTACGAAGGGGTGGGCTTCCCGAGCATTTACCGGCTGTGTTTGGATGTGTCTCCCCCCAGATGACAAGAACTTCTTGAGACTACAGAGCGACGGCCGGCGCGAGGGCCAGTACGGGCGGCTCATCAGCCCACCCGTGCACCTGCCCCGGAGTCCTGTGTGCATGGAGTTCCAGTACCAAGCGACCGGCGGCCACGGGGTGGCACTGCAGGTGGTTCGGGAAGCTAGCCAGGAAAGCAAACTCCTCTGGGTCATCCGTGAGGACCAAGGCAGCGAGTGGAAGCATGGACGCATTATCCTGCCCAGCTACGACATGGAGTATCAGGTGAGCCGTGGAAGGCAAAGGGCGCAAGACGCGAGGGAACCGTTGTGATCCCTATTCCGCGATATTTCAAAGCGCCTTGCCCGTTCATCATTAAGGGACGTGGTTAAGCTCCGCTGTTTTCATTGTGTTTCTTCTGTTGCTATGGCAACTAAATGGCACTCTTATTTGTTATTCAGAATGTGCCTATCTCTCCACCCAGGCTTGGTTCTTTGTTCCTCCGATTGCCTTTTATATTGCTGAAATCTTCTCCCACAAATGTTTCTTCTCCCCATTTTATTTTAGATTGCCATCAGGTAGACTGGCAAAGGGACACACAAGTCAGGGAAACACACGCCAACAACCCCTCTACACTCAAGGCAGTGGAGCCCTCCCTCAGAGTGGAGGAGGCGGTGGCCATGCCCTCCCAGACCCGCTCCAGAGAGCAGGAATCCAGGAAGGGGCATAGATGGATAAACATTAAACTCTGTGGTCAATGGACCCAAGAGAGCCCCCCAAACAAGTGGCTTCTCTCTCTCTCTCTCTCTCTCTCTCTCTCTCTCTCTCTCTCTCTCTCTCCTCCAGGAATTGCTTTCTATTATCTCTATCCCATGGAGCAAGAGAGTGAGGCACAGATGGGCACACGCATCTGTAGCCGCATTTTGGGTAGGAGTAGACACACTGTGGATGAGGTGACTGAGAACCAGCCAAGGCATTAACCTGCTCCTCCCCAGATGAAGAGCGGCAACAGATGGCTGGCAAGGCAGCCAACTGCTCCTTCAGCTTGCCAGAGGACATGTGCTCGTTTGCAGAAAGGACCTGGGGAGGGTGGGAATGAGGAGGAGTGATTAAAGACCACAGAGCTGAGGGGCTTCCGTGCGCAGCCTGCAGCCTGCACCCTTGAGGTTGCGAGACATCTTGAGACCCTTGCTCCCCAACCCGGGTCCCCACGTGCTAACGTTAGTGCAGGTGTTAGAAGAACCTGTTGGGGTTTTGGTCTGACCCTCTGCAGGGAGGGCTTCTCGGGGCGGAGCTCTCGTCTTACTAGATCTTCTTATTCTCTCACCTGTGTGCCTAACACGTAGTAGATGCTCAGTAAACTGTCGCGCCATGAATAAACTGCTTCTCCCCGCTGTTGTATTAATGGATCTCCAAGTCGGTGTGCAAGGAGAGGTCACCTAGCAGGGCAGTTCAAACTCAAGTGCCTCTTTTTCCTCATTATCCTCACCTGCTCATGGCCTCTGAGTTTTCAAATAACCTGGGTTGAGCATTTGAAGGATTTATGAGAAAGGAACCTCAGAAATAGCTAGGGAAATTTCAACACCTCCCCCCACCCCTTAAGTGTGCTCCAGTTGTGGTCCTTTTAATCAGTATATTCTTGTTACTGGACAACAATATCCATCAACTTGCTCTATTTTCTTATCCTCTCAAATATGCACTTGATTTGAACCAACTCTTTTTAAATTAAGATCTCAAGAGATGTAGCCATGTGGTCCACAGATGTGTGCCAGGTGCAATAACACAGACACAGACACACACACACACACACACACACACACACATACTCAACGGCTGTTAACAGAAATTGGGGAGCTTTACACTAACCATGGCTCTGGTCCTTCTGGCTCTAGATCGTGTTCGAGGGTGTGATCGGGAAAGGACGATCGGGAGAGATCGCCATCGATGACATTCGGCTGAGCACTGATGTCCCACTGGAGAACTGCATGGGTATGTGACTGCCTCTCTCTTCCTGGCTGTCTCCAATAAGATGCTAGGGACTGGGATATGCAAAAGGAAGCAATTGCTATCTTAAAACACCATGTTCCCAGTAGGTAGGACTATGCCAGTCTGTACAGGAGGTGAAATGTGGGCACAGTTGTGTCTTGGGCTGTGGGGGGAGGTGAGGTGTGATATGAGGTGAAGGTTTATATCCATCTCCCAATCAGAAATAGATGTGCATTAAGTATATGAAAATTTGGGGTGCCAAGACCCCATCATCAGACTCCAGTTTTTAGCAAAGAAAATGCTAGAGGACAAGAGCACCTGCCAGTCAGAATTACATGCTGGAAAGGTTTGATGGATTTAATGGAAGCCTTTGGTGGCTGGCAAAAATGGTACACACGCTATATAAGAATGATAACACAATTACCCACACGGTTCTTTCACATGAATGAACTGCAGGGAAAATTATGGCATGAGCAATAAAATGCTACATTTTGTTTTCAAACTAATACTTCTAATGCCCAAGAGTCTGGAGCTGTAGGATTAAGCGTGGCACACCACAGGACCAGCATAGGAAGGACACCCCTAACTATCTGTCTGGTCAGAAGTGCTGAAGAGCCAGGCCTCCTGAAATGCACGCAGATTTGCTCATGGCTGCATCCTGCAGCAGGGGTTTCCCCCAAAGGGACCCTGCCCACCTCCCATCAGAGCCGTGGATGTGTCCCCAAACAGAAAAGGGATCCCGAGAAGGAAACACCCTGGTTCCAGCTAGCAGAGTTGCTGTAAGAAGTTACCAAGTGCTTTGCTTGGACCTTGGGTCCTGGGTGTCTGTGCCTAGCAATGTCAGAAGCAGTTGAGACTGTCCCAGTCCCCCGGGAAGCTCCCAGGGCCTAGGCATCTAAAAGTAATCCCAGGTCTGAGAAAGTAATCAGTGGTACGTGACTGATGATAGTGCCTTGGGGACCCGTTACTCTAAGAAGGATTTTTTTTTTTTTTTGATCCAAAGCAACTTGAGAATCCTCTCCAGTCACCCTTTGCCCAGGGATGGTGGTATGTTAGACACAGTCTAGAAAACATGCAAGAAGTGGGCCACTACATACTTTCTGTAGCGTATTACCCAGTGACCTAACAAATCATCTTTGTCTTGTTCGTTCAATGACTTCTTCCCTTTATCTAATTCAAAGTTGTTTTTTTCTCTCTCTTTCAGAACCCATCTCAGCTTTTACAGGTGAGGATTTTAAAGGTAAAAAAAACCCAAATGTTTGTTTTGCATGGCTTTTTCTCTTTCCATGTGATGTGAATTTGGTGAGGGGTGCCAACCGGTTTGACCAAGCTTGCAGGAGAAAAAGGGCGTTCCACTTTCTCACCACTAGATGGCGCCAGCGATACCCATAGATGGGGGTGGGGGCTGAGATTCTCTGTGTCTCCCATTTAATTAAAGTTTAGAAACCTATAATAGAGACAAATAGGTTACAGATAAACCTTTGAGCCTCTTGTATTGTCCAATGGGGAGCAATGAGGTTGAAAATGCGGGAGTGGTGAGAAAGGAGGAACTGTGGGAAGATCAACACACACGCACACACGCACGCACGCACGCACACATGCACCCTCCGTGAGGGGAAAAAAATTACCCGTAGTAGATTAAAAGTGAAACAAAATGGCAATGCTCTGTTTTAGGCTGAAGGTGGTGTTTCCCAGCTCCAGGGAACTGAGGCAGGGTGTCAGTCAAGCCTCAGTGAGGTGTTCTGTCAGGCATTCTAAGGAGGATGTGGAGAAAACATGAGGAGGGCTGTGAGGTAAAGGGAGAGAGGTACTGAATTCAGAAGCTGGTCACGGGAACAAGGGAGGACACTCCCTAACTAGAGTCAGAGCACTTGGATTTCGAGGCTGGGAGCAGAAAGGGACACTTTCGTCCTAAGAAAGCAAACGGAGAACAAAGCAAAACAGGGGGAGATTGGGATGCTTTTCCCATGCAGCGGGTTTACATCCGCCCTCCGCGGTCAGTCTGGCTGCTGATGCTGCCCGCCGCCCAGGTTCCCACCCAGTTTCTAATAACTGAGCACTCAGTGGCTGCTCTAAGTGCTAAGTGCTCCCCTACAGCTGGCCGACTGGGGCATGTTCACAGACCCTCGCCCGCCCAACGCTGAGTCTCTGGGGCCTGTTTGGTGCCAGCCATGTGAGGGGCCGTCTCGTCCTTCTAGGTGACAGCAGTTTAGAGATCAGCTTTGGCACCTTCTACCCATCTTCACTTGTTATCCTGGCTCTCGTTAGTCTGTCCAGCTCCTGACTAGAAAGAGATGAATTCTTGGCTTGACACCTAGACAGGCTCCCTGGATCCTAGTCATCTTGCCGAATTTTGCCACTCATCTCCAGTTCTAGGATAACCAACATGGGAGAAGTAGTAGAACAGAGGACCGGTGTATGGTTTCTTTCTTAGCCTCTCTCTGTCTCCCCCACCACATTTGGAAGTACCGAGCATCAGCGCGCACATCTTGCTGCTCCCTGGGGATGTGACTTCAAATGCAAAGCACAGATAGGAAAGCTGAGGTCCAAACAGAACAGCTTGGACGGCAGTTGGGTTCTAATCCTCGGGGTGCAGGGTAATGCCTATGCTCCTGACTCTGTGGGCTGTTGATCCTCAGAGCTCCCAGAAAGGCTGGTTCAAGCCGGGTCAGGAACTGTTCTAAAAGCTGTGCACGTACCGTGTCTGGTCGTGACTGACAAGTACGGTGGCTGAGGGCTTCGCTCCTGTGGAAGAATAAACACACTAGACACATGCGCTTTCCTTGACGTCCCGTGCAGCACGAGGCTGCACACCCTAGGCCTGTTCGCCTGTTAAAAGATATACAAATAAAGTCGCATTTGAGTGGCATATGTGCACTTAGGCTAAATAAACACAGGGCTCCGTGGCTTGAAGGTAAGGCTTTCTAGCAGGCTCGTGGTACTTTCGGGCTGTGCAGACAGGGCTCAGGTTGCAAGCATTGAGACTCACGGATGCTGAGGATGGCAAAGAGGCAACCCAGTCTTAGGGAGCAGAGGCTTGGCTTAAGAACATAGAGTCGAACAGAATGGGACTTGGAAGTTTCGATCACATTGACGTGTTCTGTGATGCTCCGGGATGAACCTGGGACCAGACATTAGGACCGTCTCTCATGCCTCTATCTTTACTCAAACAAACGTCTCTCCAGATGGGAGGCATGCCTTCTGTTCTCTTCCTGGGCAGGACAATAGGGGACGCTTGCTCAAGACATAACATCAGTCTCTTTACTCAAAACAGAGAAGCAGAATGAAATGAGATTTGGGCAAGCAAGGTACGGAGAGCTGATGTGGGGGCACTGCCCACAACTGCCATTTGTGTGGCTTCTGTACTTTTAGGATTAGGCTGTTTTTCTTTTCTGTTATAAACTAGCCAGGCGGCAGAAGTAATCCCATTCATTAGGGGAGATCAGTGTGTTCCCGGTGGATCTTTAGGGAAATGCGGTAAAAGTGGCCTTTGGACCTGTGTTGATGACTGCTCTTGAGCTTCCTTAGTTTGAAGTGTCTTTCATTTTCTGCCTGTAACTGGTTTCTCCTGCACACCTCTGCCTTTTTATTCTAATTGCATTGTGCTTTCCGCTTCATTGCGTGCACGCGGATTGTGTACCTGGATGTGCGTTAGTGCCGAAGAGAGAAAGAGGAAACAGAGAGAATGGTAACACTGTGTCGTCATGCCATTCTTGAAAAGATCCTTTTGTCATTGATATGAGTCATATTTTAAACAATGTAACATGGGTGTGCTTTCTTTCTTTCATAAGCAGTGGGTATAAACACTGTGTCGTCATGTATCTTTGTTCTTAAGGTTTGAGCTTTAACAAATGAAAAACTGGAGGGAAGGCTGAAAAATGGTATAATTAAGGTGATAGGTTGTTTCCTCAAACTGGATGGTTTTTTTTTTTCTCTCAATAAGAGAAAAAAGAACAAGCAAGGACCCAGTAAAAATATAGAATGCCCATAATCAGAGACCTGTGGCTATTGACCTGCTGGATATTTTGAGCAGCTTGTGATAGAGACAAGAGCTGTTGCTGCTCCTGGAGGAGGCCGTGTGTTTTGAAGGCAGCAGGAGCAGACTGTACCTGCTAGAGATCATGGAGATCCAGGCAGGGTCGCACTGCAAAGGTGGCCTTGGGGTGCGGTGCCCTGAACTGCCTTCTTATTAAGGATCCTAAAAGGAGCTTATGTTGGCCCTCATAGTTCGATAGTTGTGAATGTGTCTCCAACTGTTTCTTAGGGTGCCATACTCCACCTTTTGCCTTCCTGCTATCCCCCACAATTTCCATCCGGGTATAACCAGGAGACAATGAGGCTCAAAGGCTGTCCCGTGGGTATGGCTGGGCATCATTTTAAGGGAGAGCCACACAGGGTTGAAGCCTGAGGTGGCTGGCACCTGATTCCATGCCTCAAGTTTGGAGTCAATTGATTTGGGGCCCTACAGGCCAATCTGCCATTTTATAGCCACATCTCTTTTTCCATCTCCACCCTCACTCCCATGACCTGCCTCCCACACAGAAGCTTGGCTTGCCAGGACGACACCCCGCCCCTGGGTACCTGACTGGACTGCCCCATCAGAGGGCCCTTCTTTTACCTCTGTAGCGCTGTCTCCTTGGAACACTTCTAGGGAAGCAGAGAGGGTTAAACTGGGCGCTTGCACATCCTCCTCGGAGAAGTACACTAAACCCTGCCAGGGTTCCAGATAGGCAGCTGCGGTGTGAGAATCCTCCCCACTGCCCTCCCCCCGCCCCCCCGCCCCCGCCCCATCTCCAACTGCCAAGTCGAGGCTAGGTGTTGCCGAGCAGAGAGAACGGAGAAAGATGTGGGAAACAGCCATGTGATGGTGGGCTGTCGGCTCTGCCCACAGGACACTGAGGGATTGTTTGTGAAGTTTGCATGCATGCTCGGCCTCTCCTGTCACAGAAGCTACACACACACACACACACACACACACACACACACCACCGCCGCCACCACACAAGTCCATCTAAGGCAGCCGCCAGGACACTTTGGGAAAGGGCAGGAGAAAGTGTTTCTCCCCAACACCTCTCTCCGACAGTTCAGAGTGGCAGGCCTTGGTTTTATAGAAGGTAGCTTCAAAGTTCCAGAAGATGAGAAGTGCCTGCTCCAGCCAGATAAGGGGCTGCGTTGAGAGAATTTAGATAGACAGATGGGCACAGGGTGGGGAGCCACACACACACACACACACACACACACACACACACAGGTTTCTGCCCGATCACTGCAAGTCTACTGAGTCTACCTCTACATTCTTGCTCGTCCAACAAGTGGAAAGACCTATTCTCAGGGGTGCTTTGAATTTCAGCATCCCTCTACACAGCACAGGAGGCCCGGCCACATTCTTCCACTGCCTTCCATACATTTTTCTAGTGGATCCAAGCTTTTGCTTTCGTTTGCTTAATCCCACAGATGAAACAAACCGTTCACCTGAACTGTCCCTTCAGCTGGGCTCCTTCTCTGTTGGCATAGAAAGGTACCCATGTCAGCATCATAAAACAGCTTTCAGGGGCAAAGGGAGACCTACCCTTGGTGCCTTGTGGAACATTCCAGGTCCTAGTGGCATTTCATGAATGTAGCTGGGAAAGATGCTTGCTTTTTTCATGGTGAGACTGTGTCGTGCCAATTTTCTGACGGGTTCTGACAGAGTAGGAGGCAGAAAGGGAGAGAGGGCTGCTTCCTGTTCCTGCCTTACTTGCTTAGAGCAAAATTTGCAAAACTGTGCTATGAAAGACCAGATAATAAAATATGCCAGTCTTTTGGGGAGACATGCAGCCTTTCTGGCAAGTGCTCGGCCTCACCACTAAAGCACAGAGGCGACCAAGAGTGGTATGTAAACAAATGAAGGTGTCAGTGTTCAAATAAAACTTTATAAAAACGGACAACGGGCTGCAGTTAGCTGAGGATTCTGTAGACCTGGTTTCAGGTCTGACTCGGTCACTAAGCAGCAGTAAGCAATTCTACAGAGCTCCGAGACATCCCTTGAGTTTTGCCTGTGTGTTCCTTTGTCCTCTTAGTTTTCCGACTTCCCATTTTCTTAGATCCTCTCATCCCCCATTTAAGACCCATGGAAAATAAAGACTATTCATGTGAAGCCCATGAACCAGGGGCTGACACACTGAAAACCTCTACTGTTTATCACTTTTCTTGTAGTCACATTATCCTAATTATTCATTCAATCAGTAACACTATAAACAGAAATGGAAGGCTCACTACACCTAACAGGTAATTTCTTTTCATTTTTCCCATCTGTGACTTCTCAGAATTGGTTTCTTGAAATCCAAATTCTTTGCATCCACATTTCTCTTCTCCAGGGAGTTCAGAACTTCTGCAGATGGGAGCCTGCTCAACCTTGTAAATACACTTGGAGTTATTGACTGTTTAAGTATCTGTTTCTCATTATCTTGAACAATGAGAAAACTTTGTGGAGAATTGGGGGGTGGAAATTAATAAAAAATGGTTGAGGAATTGAAAACATTTTTCCAACTGAAAAGAAAAAAAAAGATATGTGGTCGAGTGGTAAAAAGAATAGTCAAGGGGGGGGCTGGAGAGATGGCTCAGAGGTTAAGAGCACTGCTTGCTCTTCCAAAGGTCCTGAGTTCAATTCTCAGCAACCACATGGTGGCTCACAACCATCTGTAATGAGATCCGGTGCCCTCTTCTGGCCTGTGGGGATATGTACAGACAGAACAATGTATACATAATAAATAAATAAATCTTTAAAAAAAAAAAAAAAAAAAAGAATAGTCAAGGGGGAAGTTGGAACAGACATCACCAGCTCGCAGGGTTGATGTCTCAGCTCCAATTTTTGCTTCCAGGTTAGTGTAGCTAGCACAGAACTCTTTATTTGTGAAACAATAGCCCAGTCGCTCCATAGGAATAGGGGTGTGAATAAGGCTGATATCCAGCTGCTCCTGTTCCCGACACCCTTTTCTCCCTCCCAGAGGGGCACTGTGAGTGGGAAGTGTTTCTAGTGCCTTCTGAGAGCAGTTCTGTGAAGCCTAGTGAGAGGTCAGCATTTCCTGGGGAGTCTGAACATTGGTCCAAAATACATTCCTCTACCACTCTATCTATTGTCTGTCTGTCTGTCTATCCATCCATCTGTCCACTCATCCATCCATCTATCCATCTGGTATTTATTGGCTTTCTGCTTTGCTGGGAAGGCGTTTTGAGTACAGATTTAACCCTGGTTGATTTATTACCTTCCTTTTCTGTAACTTGTAAACCACAGCCTAATGAGCTCATAACCCTTCAAGGCTGTGGTAGAGCCAGGTTCCAAACCAGCACAATCCACTTTGGAATTAGGTCTCTAGCTGGCAAATGTTCTGAGAAACTTCTGGTCCCTACAAGCTATCCCTAAATTGCTTGGTGGGGCAGAAGGAAGGTATTGTTAGTCATAACTTCTTCTCTTTCCTAACTCCTTTAACATTAAAGACATAAATTTATATAGTATGTTTTCTCATTTTTCCAAGGAAAATGTTTAAGAGGTCATCAAGACAATGTCCCCAAATGGCTCTTGTCACTCAAATTATCACATGTTCTACATGTTGATAATTTCACGCAAGAGGGCTTTGGGGGCGGGGCAGTCTTTAATATATAGTGGAGTCTATCTTCCAAAGGATAGCTCTGAGGTGATGGCTCACATAGCTGATACTGAATACTAATCCCCATGTTATGGTTTAACCTCTCATGACAGGAAGACCTTCTCGTTGTGCCCCAAGTTATTGCTACCATCAGAAACACTCTCAAGGTAGCAAGCATCAAGGCTTCCCCCTCCCCAGTCCCAGGAAGTAGTGGAAGGAACAGGAGTGACTGTAACTACACTCCCATCTTTGAGGTCAGGCATTTCAGCAAAGGCTTAACCGCTGAATTTGCCACCTGCCTTTTCTCTGATGGGTGAGCTGCAACCTCATGAGAGGACGGCCCTCATAATGCAGCAATCAGAGGTGTAGTCCAGGCGAAGAAAGACGGCTCTGGTGAACTCTGGGCCCACCTATACATTCCATCATTTCCCAGCATCTTCGTGAGCTCCCAAGAAAATCCAGTGGCAGGCTGGTTGCCAAGCAGCAGACACTCTTGGTGACTTGAATCATGAGTTGATGTCAGCTGACTGTGACCTGCACGCTGACCACTTAAAGGAATCATTTTCAGCACTTTGCATTCTTTCTATCTTGATTTCTATGCAAAATTCTCAAAAAAAAAAGAGAGAATTTTTTTCTTAATCCATAGTAATGGAAGGTATTAAAATATGTAAATCATAGCTGGGTGTGGAGGCTCACACCTGTAACCCCACCACTTGCTAAGGCAGGGAGGGAGAGGTTGTTTGAGTCTATCCTGAACTACATGATGAATTACAGATTAATTAGCTTTTGCTACAAAGTGAAATCCTGCCTCAAGATAACAAACAAACAAAGGACAATGAGAATAGTTTGGGGAAAAGAAAAAGAGTGTGGAGGCACGTGAGAAAGGATAAAGGAAGCAGCCTTTAGGGGTCCTGGGATAATGGGGTCTTTTTCACCCCAAGGATATAGAGGTGGCTATTTTTGTGGCATATATGTGGCATATATTATATGTATGTAAGCTAAGGAGTTGGTCTTTGTCAAAGCCCTCCCAACACTGTGGGACTTCTGGCGGCCTACCCGGTACCAATGAAACTGCACCCTGATGAAGGGGGATCCCCACACTAAAGGAAGTAATGACTCAGGCTTCATTAGATTTCCCGAGGAAAATCCTCTACTTTTCCTCTCACTTCTGAGGAGACGTGAGAAGTTCTGACCACCTCTCAGCTGGTCCCCAAATGGAAGGAGGCATTCTGGAGATCAGGCCGTGGGAACGGGGAAACACTCAGAGCTGGGATGTGGTTTGGCAGTGGCCTCGTAAGGCATTGGCAAGGCCCCCTTCTCTGCACATACTCTTTCGTGGAGACGGGAGTCCGGCTTCTTCTCCCTCCGGAGCTCAAAGTCTCATGGGGGAAGACGAGAAGGGTAGCCGGGCCCAGCCTGAGTGGTGAGCAGAGGTGCACCCACAGAACAGAAGCCGTGATTAGGCAGCATCCCCCCTTCCCCCGCACACCCCGTAAGTAAAGGAAGCATCGTTTGGGCCACCAGCACGTGATACAAGCAGCTTGGGAAGCATTTCTCATAGGTTAAGCATACATCATTTTTCAGAAGTAAAGATCATGTCTGCCTTTGGCAAGCTCCAAAGCGCCTTAGTCCCTTTCTGGGCCAGATTCTCATCTGATGTAAATCTTTGGGAGAATCAAGTTGTAGCACTGTTTTGCATGGAGTGGGAGTCAAGCCCGTTTTTTCCCCTGAGTTACCCTAAGCGTAACTCTACTACAGTGTCTCCATGGCAACCAGAGGCTGGCCAGTAAACTCGGCTGCCTTCTAAATCTCCCACCCCCAGCTTCTCCTCCCTGCTCTCTTTTTCATGGTTAAGAATGAGCCTCTCTTCCGATTGCCCTCACTCACTTGGTGTTCCCTCGCTGTCACATTCCTTTAATGCTTTGTGTTCATATTTTTTTCTTACAACTACCCATCCAATCAGCTTTTAAAATCCTCCATCCAATTAAAAAAAAAAATGAAGACGGGTTAGTCATCACTTGACAGTGGTAATTGACCTGTTTAGACAAGACCAAGCTGATTTCAATGGGCGCAGAAGCCTTGGCAAACCAAAGTGGAATTTACCTTCAAGTCTAGCCAGCCTAATTAATACATTGTTTGAGAATTCTGGCCAGCCACACCAAATATGGCATTTCCACCCACTTGGAGTATTCACCTAGCTGAATCCCAGTGCCATTGCAGCATCGTGTGTGTGTGTGTGTGTGTGTGTGTGTGTGTGTGTGTGTGTGTACATGTACACACAACAGAAAGAGAGAGAGAGTGAACTATAAAGCTTCTCCATACGATAAAGTAATTCTGGCTAAATAGCAAAGGGTAGCACTCTTGGTAAGGGTAGTACTCTTGGTTGAAGCTTATTTACCGCCAGGTGAATAGCCACCGTTGATTGGCCTTCTCTGAGCCTGTTTCCCCATCTGTAGAATGGGTTAACGTACCTGATGTATCAAGGGACCAGTGGAGAGACTGCAGCATTATAAACTGCTTGGTATATCTGAAGGCCGAGTACCCCCCGAGTCCACGGTCCCCTGCTGCATTTCCCAAAGCATGTGTGTTTTTCTCTCTCTTTCTTTCTTTTCTTTTTTTTTTTTTTCGTTATTTCTTTTTTAAATTGATTTTTTTTAAAAATGGGTCTGCATGCTCTCAGTCTAGCAACACTCTCTGTGTCTTTCCCCCAGGGGGCACCCTCCAGCCAGGGACCGAGCCCACAGTGGACACGGTGCCCGTGCAGCCCATCCCAGCCTACTGGTATTACGTTATGGCGGCCGGGGGCGCCGTGCTGGTGCTCGTCTCCGTCGTACTGGCCTTGGTGCTCCACTACCACCGGTTCCGCTATGCGGCCAAGAAGACCGATCACTCCATCACCTACAAAACCTCCCACTACACCAACGGGGCCCCTCTGGCGGTGGAGCCCACCCTAACCATTAAGCTAGAGCAGGAGCGGGGCTCGCACTGCTGAGGGCCGAAGCAGGAACAGCGCCCAAACAGACAAGAAAGACTGCAAACACGTTGCCTCGATTTTGCACTTTTTTTTCTCCTCGCCTAGTCTCTGCGTCAACCCTCAGACCGCTCTCTCCAGGGTCTCCAACCCCGGGCACTCTTATCCGCCCCAGCCATTCTCTGTGCTCCTTGGTTCCTACTTCTCTTTGCTCTGTTATTTTTGTTTGTTTTCCTTATCATTATTTTTCCTTTTAATCTTCTCTTTTATTCCCTTCCTTCTTCCTTTCTTTTCTCCTTCCTTCCTTTCCTTCTTTCCTTCCTTTCTTCCCTCCTTCCTTCTTTTCTTTCCTTTTACATGATTCTAAACCAACAAAACCCAACTCTAATGCTGCATCTGGAATCCCAGAAGAGATCCGCCCCTAAGCACTTCACAACCCAAGGCTCAGTTGGTTTTGTTCCAGAGACAGGCTCTCTTGTTTTCTCCCCTCCTTGCCTTATCCCATCCCTCCTCTCCTGGGCAGGCTGCCAGGTGTCTTGAAGGGAGCCTGGTTCTGTATGTATGTACACAGTACACTCCCATGTGAAGAGGTGTGTGTGTGTGTGTGTGTGTGTGTGTGTGTGTGTGTGTGTGTGTGTGTGTGTGCGCGCGCGGTGGGTGTGTGAGGGAGAGACTGACTCACTGTGGAGGGGGGGAGTGTGTGGGTGTGTGTAGAGAGGGGCTCTTCACTCTTGTGTTACTTCTCCTGGGGTACATTTTACAAGAAAATAATATACTGTACACATTTTGTTTACTTGGAGAAGAAACGGAAGCTTTTTTGTTGCCTTATCTAGCTCTCGCTGGCTGGGTTTTTGTTGGCCGTCATTGTCATCTCCAGGTACCTAGAAAAAGAGAGGCCACATGGAATACGATGTGGCTGCACCCATCCTTATCCCCATCCCCAACCCACCTGACCCAAGAGGATGGTTCCTCCAGGGCACTCAGACATGACCCCTTGTGTTATGTCTCCCGGTGTCTTTGAAGTCACGAGATAACAGTCATTGGGTTCATGGAGCCATCCTTACTTCCAGCCCTGAAGCAAATGTGTCTCATGTTGCCTTATAAAAGAAAAAAAGAAGAAGAAGAAAGTTCATAATGAATGTTTAGCTCTGATGGTCCAATCATGGAATAAGTCATAAAGACTAACACACCTGGGATGATGTCAGTGCAGTAGTTTGTTTAAATTGAGAGCAGGAGGGGGAAGACAGAAGAGAGGAGATGGAGGGACTCATGTTATCTTTGGAAAGTCTCCTCACCCCAGAACATCATCGCATTGAGCCTAACGTGGGATGGGGTTGAGAAAAAGGTATTCTTTGGTATTATTTTGGTCATTGTAATAGCGTTTGTAAACCGTGAGGGAGGGGGTTATTTGCTTTTTTTTTTCATGGTGTTAATGTGTGCCTGAATCTTTAGCTACTGAAGTATAAGGCTGTCCACCTGACTTAATCAGATGTTATAAGAAAACAGAAAGGAATCATTTGCTGAAATGTACCGGTGTGCTGCCCCTTAAAGCATTCATGGCATCTAACCTGATGGGCTGGCCTGCCATCTGCAGATGCCATGGCTTGGGCAAAGAGAAGGTGCATCATAGAGGCACAGCCATCACTGCCTACTCTTCTCCCAAACAACGCACGGGGGGGGGGGGGGGGATGTTAGTGAGCAGCTGCCCAAGGATTCTGTGCAAAGAAAGGATTAAATAACAAAGTCAATCTCATTGCAAGAAAGTGTATATTTGAAGATTTTGGGTATACTAGGGCTCAGTCTTGGAGGCGTTTGTTTTCTACTTTCCACTGAAAAAGCCTCTTGGGAAGTGTACAATTCTCTCAAGATATACTGGTCAGATACATCTCCAGACACCTTCTAAGAACAAAATACTAATGATTCTTTTTTTTTTTAATTGCTTGGGAGAGAGCCGCTCAGCATTCTTTCAGAGTAGCCAGCTAGGTCCCCCTAGCTCGCTCTCAGCCTTTGCATCTGGTTCCTTTCATCCTCCTGAAAGGACACGGTCTCCCACTCTTCACTGTTTCAAAGAGCTACTCTGTCTCAACTACAGCAGCTCTGCCATGAAAAGAAAAGATGAAAGGCTAGAGTGTGGCTACTTTGAGCTGTCCTACCTCAATGAAAGATGGAGAAGGAAGCGTGAGCAGGAGGTGGGCAGCAGCCCTGGGTGGGAGAGAACCATGCCAGTCACCAAGGGCTCTTGTTTTTTTTAAATCAGGATTGTTCCCCTCTGGCTGAGCACTTAGGGCCAGGCATTCCTTGCAAATGATTGACATTCCTACAGGTGCCCTGTGGAGGCATCAGAAAACCACAGCTAGAAAAACCCATCTGGTGTAGCCAAAGCAAGATGGCAGGCACTTTGTGAGCTTGCTCTGTGCTCATCCGATGCCCTCTGCAGGCAACATCATATTCATGTACACGTCACAGATGAGAAGATGGTGAATCCCATGATACCCTTCAGCTGTGATTCATGCTTAAGTGCTCTCTCTCTCTCTCTCTCTCTCTCTCTCTCTCTCTCTCTCTCTCTCTCTCCTGCTCCCCCACTCCAGCATCTTTCATAGTATTTTCTAAAAAGGGTAGCTTATGTGTAAAAAAAAAAAAATGCCATGCCTTGCTGCTTTAAAAAGCAAAATTCCTATCCAGTTAGGGAGGAAAGCATCACTCTTGTCCAAGAAAACTGGACTGGACAGATGAATACATGCATGCTGGAGTGTAGCGTTGCTTCCCAGAAGACAACGTGGTGAAACTAGCTGTTAAAACATGAAAGAGTGCATGAGTGAGGTGAAGGGCCAGCTGAGGCTGGAAAGCGTTTGCCTGGCTAGAGGTCTCACAAGAACCCTTCCTTGAGAGGATGCTAGCAGCTGCCCTCACCTACTGCTGGCACACGCAGGAAAAACAAATGTAGCATTGCCGTTGACAAAACGGGACGCCGGAAGAAAAAAAAATATCCTTTCTCCCGTCCCACTCTTTTTGATTAGAACCAGAACGGGCAATCCAGTCATATCTTTGAGGTCGATACCCCCATCTTTTAAAAGACCCCATCTTTAAAATAAAAACTTAGCAGGCAAGCAAACACCTAAAAGGTCAAAAATTACCAAAGAACAACAAAACAAGAAATCCTAAAGATTTTTAACTTCCGGTTCTTATGCCCTCTCCCTCTAACTGTGACACCCCTTGCCTCGCTCAGCTGCCTGTGTGTCAAAATAACTTGTGGATGTTGAACACTATTTGAAAATGTATTGTGTGGAATGTAATAAAATGATGATATTTTTATACAAACATCTGGGGTTTTTTTTTCCCTTGCCCCCCCCCCCGCCCCGCTTGTGAGAACAAAGTTGAAGTGTAAGCTTTGGGGGAAAAAAATGATGTCTCCAAAGTTCCCACATCACCTTCTGAACTCTGGGGCATCGGTGTGGGAGGGGAGGGAGGGATGTCCTCCTCTTGAAGCTGAATGCCGAATGCTGGTCTTCTTTTCTTTTTCTTTTCATCACTGCTTGCTAGGAGTTTTATCCAATGTGTGCCGCTGAGCCAACTTTTATGATTGGTGTGGGATTTTGTGAAAGTTGCTAAGTGCTAAATTGCTGAATGTGATCCCACACAATTTCTCTTGATGGCAAATCCACGGAATCTCCTTTCAAACTGCCCCGGGGGGGGGGGGGGAGTGGGTGTCCCTCTTGTGCCGGCTGTACTCAGCTCCACAGAGACACAGCCCTTCCTCTGGAAAAGAAACGACGACCTCTTGTCCCACACCTACCAAATGATTACTTCCTGGGAGACGCTGATCTCCAATTTATGAATGATTTCCCTGGAGCAAAGGGAACAGGGAAATCTTCTAGCGTGTTCGGGGCTCAGAGATGGTCAGGATTTCAATTTTGGACAGCTAATGAAGATTACGGGATGGATGTTGTGAACCTAGAGCTATCAGAGTGGGCATCTGTTAAAGGAACATTCTGTAAAAGCTTTGAGCTCATGGAGACCCACTTGAGAGTCTGATCTTCTTCAACAAGTTTTTTGTTCTGTCTGCTTTGGTGGTTTGGTTTGGTTTGGTTTGGTTTGGTTTGGTCTGGTCCATCTCTGTAAATAGTTAGTGATACAGTTGTGGTAGATATCTGAATCTAAAGGAGATTCCGGAGGGGAAAATACATAGGAAAGGTAACTTCCTAGTAGCTTTGAATCTCTCAATAGGAGGGGAGAATTGGTCACAAGAGGATTTATGTTGCTTCTGGTGTACTCAGTCACTCCAGAGTCCTTTCTAAGAGGCTGAATGATCATCCTAGATGGTCTTGCAAAGAGAGACCTGCCCTGAGGGCCCTTTTTCTGCCAGGGTCCTGATATTTCCTAGGTCCTATCGAAACCTAGACCCGTGATTCAGCACATCTCATATCTAAGACCTGTCTTAACCCTGCAAAAGGGAGCCTGGCTTTTCAGATCTCACAGGAAACTGTTAGTGCAGATGGCTCAGGGTAGATGTCATTGTCTGTCCTCTGCAGGAGCATAGAGTTCAATGTCCATGATTAGAGCATTGCCTGGTTTTCCCGTGCCAAGCACAATTACCCATTTTGTCTAAGTAACATTTGGCTGGCCTAAAATTGTTTGTTCCCGTTAACAAAAGGCAAAATGGAAGCATCTCCATGTGTTTACTTCCACCAAAGACCCAGACTCTGTGTACATTTGCCTGTGATGACCTGGGACCACACATGCCAGACCGAATTGAATCAGTCAGAGCTTATGCTTTGTTGGCATTGCTAACAGTTTTGGAGCCACTTTGGGGAAGTATTCTGCCCTGCCTCTGGGGCCAAGACTTATTTTGGGGGTCCTCTTTCTCCCCGAGAGGATAACAGCTGCCAGGAATCAATTTTACACATTCTTCACATCACTTTCACCCATGAACATTCCTGCATGCATTTCAGACTTAGCCCAAATGTAAGTGTTGCAGAAATTACGTTTCTGTGAATCACAGATGGCAGATGTCAAAGCCCAGTGTGTGCTCCCACCTGGGCCTCCACTATGACTTAAATGTGCGTTCTCGCTTCGACACTGCCCTCCCAGCGCAGACCACCAAAAGCCCAGCCAAGCCAGTGTGGCATGGAGTTAGTCCGCCCCACCACTCTTGACTGACTGCGGGCTTGTGCCCCACGAACATTGTGGCCTTCTGTAAACGGCGGCGACTAAAGGAGTCTCATCTTGAAGTTTTGATTTGTGTGCGTCGTGGCCGCACATCTGAGGCGAACTGCAGACCGATCGGTGTGGGCTTAGTGTTTGGTTGCCGTTATTGTTTCTCTCTGTAACTGTGCCGAGCATGGGGGCTCTCGCAGCTGTAATTTGCCTTTCATCCACCTCAGTGATGGCCCAAAGAAAACACAAAACAAATCCAGCCAGAGAAAGGGGAAGGGAGAGGGGGAAGCCGGCTGATTATCTTAGAATCAGCGGGGTGGGGGTGGGGGGGTTGTCCTAAACAAAGAAGTTAGCAACCAGAAGTGGTGGAGGATTTAATTAAGCTTCACCTCGGTCAGGTGCACGGGAGTTTGTGCTGAGGTCAACTGCAACCAGAAATCCACTCCCTTCAGAGTCATCGGACCATAGTCACAGCTGGAGTGTATTTGCCTTGACCTCTTGGAGTCATTCTGTATGGCACCCATCCTAACTGGAAGGATACAGGATTTAGGAACTCTCCACAGAGCAGAACCCTAGTTAGCAAGTTGTGGGTGGGGGGATCACGAATCTAGGAGCTTCAGGTGACCAGCAGAAGCCATTTCTGCCCCCAAATCCTCTGGACAAAAGACCCACAAATCTCTCCCTTCTTGGTAATGTCATTGCTCTTGGGACTGCCTGTCATGACCTTACAGAGCCACAAGAAGTCATTATAAATAGTTAATCATAATCTAATGTAAATTCCCATGGGCATTGGACTGAGAAATGAGAAGCATCTTCAGATGGGCCCGGAACAGAAGGGTTGGAGGCTGGGTGTTGGGTGGGAAAACACCTTCCCCTTGGAACCACACCACTAGGGTGGTTATTGACACCAAACAAAGTTGAGGGAACTTTTCAGATGGTAACTGGCAGGCTCTCTCTCTCTCTCTCTCTCTCTCTCTCTCTCTCTCTCTCTCTCTCTCTCTCTC